ATCTCCTGCCACGCTTTGCGGTGGCCCACAGGGGGGTTCTGTGTGGGAGGTTTGGCCCAATTCTATTGGTGGTGGGGTTCAGAATGCTCTGTGATTGTAGGTGAACTATAAATCCCAGCAACTACAACTCCCAAATGTCAAGATTCTATTTTCCCCAAACTCCACCAGTGTTCACATTTGGGCATATTGAGTATTCGTAGAGTTTGGTCCAGATCCATCATTGTTTGAGTCCACAGTGATCTCTGGATGTAGGTGAACTACAACTCCAACAAGGTCAATGCCCACCAAACCCTTCTAGTGTTTTCTGTTGATCATGGGAGTTCTGTGTGCCAAGTTTGGTTCAATTCCATCATTGGTGGGGTTCAGAATGCTCTTTGATTGTAGGTGAACTATAAATCCAGCAACTACAACTCCCAAATGACAAAATCAATTTTTTGAGTGAAGGACATACATTGGGTTGTTAGGTGTATTGTGTCCAAATTTGGTGTCAATTTGTCCAGTGGTTTTTGAGTTATGTTAAACCCACAAACGAACATTACATTTTTATTTATATAGACTAGCTGTCCCCTGCCACACATTGCTGTGGCCCAGTCTGTATATATGTGTTGTGTGTGTATATATGCGTGTTTATATATTTGTGTATCTGTGTATATGGGTGTGTTTGCATATATATGTGTGTGTGTGTATATATATATATATATGGATGTATATATGTGTGTGCATATGTGTGAAGAGGTGTATATATGTGTGTATATATTTGTGTGCTTATATGTGTATAGGTATATTGTGTCCTTGTCTATATGCATATTTGTGTTTATATGTGTGCATGTGTATATTTGTGTGTGCATGCGTATATGTATATATGTGTATGTAGATGTATGTGTGTGTATATTTGTGTGTGCTTGAGTATACATATATACACATGTGTATGTGTGCTTGTGTATATGTACATGAGTGTGTGTATGTGTGTGTATAGTGTATTTTGTGGGGTTTTAAGTCCATTCTGCTGGGTTTTTTGTTGTTGGTTGTTTGTTTGTTTGTTGTAATTTTAGGGGTGATGACCACTTGTTGGCCTGATAGGTGTCAATTCGACCAGTGGTTTCTGAGTTCTGTTAATCCCACAAATGAACATTACATTTTTATTTATATAGATACAATATACGAGGGGTACTTTTTAAGTAAGATCCGTTTTGTTGTAGACACTAGTAGTTTGCGCGCATACTGCAACGAGTGTGTGCGTCGGGAACAACTGTGCTCAGTTTCCGCTCTGTAGCTAACCTGTACGGTTCTGTTCTGTGCTTTAAAAATGTTTAAGACTATCAACTCACCCGCCGCATGTGAGGTTCGCTCAGTGATACGGATTTTGTCAGCAAGGAACCTGCCTGCTGCAGAAATTCATTGACAGATTTGTGAAGTATACGGTAATACTGTTATGAGTGAAAGCAAAGTGCGTAAGCGGGTACGACAATTCAGAGATGGCCGTAATAACGTCCATGATGAGGACCACTCCGGTCGCCCTTCTTTACAGACAATTTGGTTATCGGAGCAGGCGGCAAGTTTTTATGAAGAGGGTATTTTAAAATTCGGTTCTTGTGGGTTTTTCGGGCTATATGGCCATGTTCTAGAGGCATTTCTCCTGACGTTTCGCCTGCATCTATGGCAAGCATCCTCCACTCTGAGGATGCGTGCCATAGATGCAGGCGAAACGTCAGGAGAAATGCCTCTAGAACATGGCCATATAGCCCGAAAAAACCCACAAGAACTGAGTGATTCCAGCCATGAAAGCCTTCGACAATACATATTTTAAAATTGGTTCAGAGGTATGATAAGTGTTTGAACAAACTTGCCAACTATGTCGAAAAATAAAGTATGTACTTTCTGAAAATAAATTTACTTTTTTGAAATAAACTTTCGTTGTGTACTTATGTTCAAACGGACCTTACTTAAAAAATACCCCTCGTATAAATGCCGTAAATAAATAAATAAATATAATATGCGAGGTGATATGATTATAACGTAATACAATCTAATTCTAATAATATATATAGTAATATATTGTATAATATTATAATATATTGTATACACATATAATATTGATAATAATGTAATGTCATACAATATAATACTAATAATAATGTTGTTGTTGTTCATTCGTTCAGTCGTCTCCGACTCTTCGTGACCTCATGGACCAGCCCACGCCAGAGCTCCCTGTCGGCCGTCACCACCCCCAGCTCCTTCAAGGTCAGTCCAGTCACTTCAAGGATGCCATCCATCCATCTTGCCCTTGGCCCCTCTTCCTTTTGCCTTCCACTTTCCCCAGCATAATTGTCTTCTCTAGGCTTTCCTGTCTCCTCACGAAGTGGCCAAAGTACTATTAATAATACAATATAATAATTATATATTAAGGTGATATGGTGTTGTCAATTACAGCCAAATATAGGGGAGTTATTAACTATGGTGCATTTGGGCTCATGCAAAAAGAGACCAAGGCCAATGCTCTGCTGGGTCTCACTCTGCCTTTCCCTCTCTCTCTGTGTTTCTGTGTTTTGCCAGGCTTGTCGGCGTCAGCGTCAGCGGCGGGCGGGGCGTCCCCTGGCGGGAAGAGCCTTCCTTTCCCCGCGGGCGGGGCCGTTGCCTGGGAGGCGGTGCGGAGGGAGGGCAGGCCGGCTCCGGGAAGCGGGGCTCCGCGCTGGGACTGGTTCCTTCGCAGCCATTTTCTGTCCAACCAAACAGCCGATTTGCGGAGGGAGCCAACCAGGGCCGCACTGGAGGTTTGTGCCTGGCTCCGGCCAATGATTGGTAACCGGTTTCACTGCAGGCTCGAATGAAATGTCCGACTCCTGGCCCGCCGACGCTGCTGCTACTCCTCTCGCCGTGGAAGGAAGGAGGAGAGAAGGAAGAGCGGGCCCCACTCCCGCCTTGAATGGCGCTTTGTACTCTTTCTGAGGAGGAGGCGGGAAAGGAAGGCCGAGGGCCCGCATGGAGGCCTAGCCAGGGAGCCGTGTCGTCGCCACAGGAGGAAACCATGTTTCTGAAGGAGGCCAGGGATAGAGAGGAGCAGGCCTCGCCAGGATTTCCTGACTGGAGATGCAGAAGCTCATCCAACTGAGGAGTTGTTGTTGTTATTGTTGTGGCAAGAGACAATTCCCCCTCAAAATGGGGGCAGCAAAGGGAGGGTCATCCTGACAGGAGCCCACCCTTTTCTGCCCTCAAAAATGGAGGGCTTGAGAAAGAAGGAAGAGTGTTGTTGTTGTTTGTGCCAAGCGTTTCTTCCTCAGGAAATTTAGGCAGGAGGAGAGTAGGAAACAGGCCTGTCCAGGTGTTTTGGACTTCAACTCCCACCATTCCTAACAACCTCAGGCCCCTTCCTTTCCCTCCCTTAGCTGCATAAGGAAAAGGAAGAGGCCTGAGGCTGTTAGGAATGGTGGGAGTTGAAGTCCAAAACACTTGGAGGGCCCAAGTTGGCCCAGGCCTGTTGGGAAAGGATCAGACCTCTGCAAAATGGAGGGAAGGAGGAGGAAAGGGAGTTTTGTTGTTGTTATTGTTGTGGCAAGAGACAATTCCCCCTCAAAATGGGGGCAGCAAAGGGAGGGTCGTCCTGACAGGAGCCCACCCTTTTCCGCCCTCAGAAATGGAGAGCTTGAGAAAGAAGGAAGAGTGTCGTTGTTGTTTGTGCCAAGCATTTCTTCCTCAGGAAATTTAGGCAGGAGGAGAGTAGGAAATAGGCCTGAGCCAGCATGGGCCCTCCATGTGTTTTGGACTTCAGCTCCCACCATTCCTAACAACCTCAGGCCCCTTCCCTTTCCCTCCTCAGCTGCATAAGGCTGTTAGGAATGGTGGGAGTTGAAGCCCAAAACACCTGGAGGGCCCAAGTTGGCCCAGGCCTGTTGTGAAAGGATCAGACCTCTGCAAAATGGGGGGAAGGAGGAGGAAAGGCAAAGTGTGTTGTTGTTGTGACTGGGGGGAAGGAGGAGGAAAGGGAAAGTGTTGTTGTTGTGACTGGGGGGAAGGAGGAGGAAAGGGAAAGAGTGTTGTTGTTGTTATTGTTGTGACTGGAGCCAACCCTCTTCCAAATGGGGGCCTGAGGAAATGTTGTTGCAATAGCTGACCCCCCCCCCCCCTTTCCTCAAAATATTGTCCTCGAAGCAGCCCAAAATGGAGGCAGAAGCAGTGGAGGGAAAGATTGTTGTTGTTATAACTGGAGCTGACCCCAGGAAGAGGCCTAAGGCTGTTAGGAATGGTGGGAGTTGAAGTCCAAAACACTTGGAGGGCCCAAGTTGGCCCAGGCCTGTTGGGAAAGGATCAGACCTCTGCAAAATGGGGGGAAGGAGGAGGAGGGAAGGTAAAGTGTGTTGTTGTTGTGACTGGAGCCGACCCTATTCCAAATGTGGGCCTGAGGAAATGTTGCAATAGCTGACCCCCCCCCTCCTCAAAATATTGTCCTCGAAGCAGCCCAAAATGGAGGCAGAAGGAGTGGAGGGAAAGATGATTGTTGTTGTGACTAGAGCTGCCCCCCTTTTAAATGGGGGTCTGAGGCAATGTTGTTGTTGTCAAAGGCTTTCGTTGCTGGAATCACTGAGTTGTTATAGGTTTTTTCTATTGATGTATTGTCGAAGGCTTTCATGGCTGGAATCACTAGGTTCTTGTGGGTTTTTTTGGGCTATATGGCCATGTTCTAGAGGCATTTCTCCTGACGTTTCGCCTGCATCTATGGCAAGCATCCTCAGAGGTAGTGAGGTCTGTTGGAAATAGGAAAATGGGTTTATATATCTGTGGAATGACTGGGGTGGGGCAAAGAGCTCTCTGCTGAAGCTAGGTGTGAATGTTTCAACTGACCACCTTCATTAGCATTAAGGCCTGGCTGAGCCTGGGAAAATGTTCTGTTGAGAGGTGTTAAGATGTGCCTGGTAGGCAAAATGTCAGGAGAGAATGCCTCTAGAACATGGCCACATAGCCCGAAAAAACGTGCAACAACCCTGTTGTTGTTGTCGTTGTTGTTGCAGGAGCCTATCCCCCCCCCCCCTTTTCCTCAAAATGTCCTCTAAGCAGCCCAAAATGGGTGCAGAAGGAGTGGTGGGAAAGGTTGTTGTTGTTGTGACTGGAGCTCAGCCTCTTCCAAATGTAGGCAGAAGGAGTGGAGGGAAAGGTTGTTGTTGTTGTGACGGGAGCTCACCCCCTTCCAAATTGGGGGCCTGAGATAATGTTATTGTTGTTGCAAGAGCCAATACACCCCCACCCCCTTTCTTCAAAATATTGTCCTCAAAGTAGTCCAAAATGGGGGCAGAAGGAGTGGCAAGAGTTTTCCCTTCCTTCCTCCAAATATTGTCCCCAAAGCAGCCCAAAATAGGGGGAGAAGGAGGTAGCAGTGTCGGATGTTGCCCCAACAGGAGCGTTCTCGAAACGGGGGCAGGAAGAGAGGGAGTTTTGTAGCAAAATGTTGTTGCAGTAGGATTCTGACTTGTTCAAAATGGGGCAATAAAGGAATGGGAAAGTTGCTGTGAGTCTTCCAGGCTGTTATGGCCATGTTCCAGAAGCATGTGGACGTTTCGCTCACATCTATAGCAGGCATCCTCAGGAGGTTGTGAGGTCTGTTGGAAACTAGACAAGTGAGGTTTATATACCTGTGGACTGTCCAGGGTGAGAGAAAGAGCTATTGTCTGTTTGTGGCAAATGTGAATGTTGCAGTTGGCCCCCCTGATTAGCATTGAATGGCCTTGCAGCTTCAAAGCCTGGCTGCTTCCTGTCTGTGGGAATCCTTTGTTGGGATTCCTGTCTGTGGGAATCCTTTGTTGGTCCTGATTGTTTCCTGTCTGGAATTCCCCTGTTTTCAGAGTGTTGCTCTTTATTTACTGCCCTGATTTTGGAGTTTTTTAAATAGCTAGATTGAAATTCACAAGCATGTGGACAATTTCCACAGAAAGGAGGAAACCAAGAAAATGAACAAAATCTGTTTAGAGGGGAAGAGTGTTGTTGTGACAGACCGCTATCAAAATGTGAAGGGAGCCCCCTCCCCCCCAGAATTAAGGCAGGAGGAGAAGGAAAGAGTGTTGTTGTGACAAGAGGTAACCCCCTCATAATGTGATGCAGGAGAGTGTTGTGGCAAAAGCTGAGTTCCTTCAAATTGGGGGGCATAGGAGGAGGATGAGGGAGTGTTGTCGTGATAAGAGTTGACCAACCCCCTCCAAAAAAGAGGACAAGAGGAGATAGTATTGTGACAGGAGGTGACACCCCTACCCCCAAATGGGAGCAGGAGGAGGAAATAATGCCGCTTACCTGTTAAGGTAGCTTTGCATGTTTGGTTCAAAGAAGCAGGGGCAGGCAAACCGGAAAGCAATGGCTTCACAGCCCCCCTTTTTCCCTTTCTCACATTTTCAGGCCATCAGGCAGGAGGGGGATTGAGCTTAGACAATGGGGAGCCCCATYGAGTCACTTGGAGATTGGGAGCGGTGCCCTCTTTGCAGGGTGCAGCTATGTACTCTTAATATTCTCAAGGCTTGGCCTTCCTTCTCTTTATCTCTCCCCCCCCCCCTTGTAAAAAAATCCTTTATTTTACTAGGGTGGAGTTGGGCCTGTTTTTGTAGATGGGCTTTTGTCTGCCATGTTTCTTGATCATCCTTCCTCTACCCCTGCACCTTAGTGGCGATGGCCTAGCCTTTTAGAAAGGAATTTTGTTTTGTTTTTTATTTTTGCTCCTCTGCCCTTCCTGGATGGGGGGTGGTGGTGTTTGGAAGCTCGTTTGACAAGTGGGTCTCTCCCCTCATTGGAGAAGCACCTGCTCTTGTCTCGCTTCAACTGATTTCCACGCCTAAGAATCCCAAAGTGTTTTTATGGTGCTGTGATGCAGGATGTCATCTCACAATAATTGGTGAGTGGACAATTTTTCAAGGTCTTGAAGGATTCAGATATTGCCCGTTGACTCCTGACTTGTGACTTGTTCCAGGTTTTGTCTTATGCATCCAGGCTTCTTCATCCTCTTTCTTAGTCACTTTTTTCTTGCCAAATCTTGTATAACTGAAGCACCTTCATGCAATAGATCTAGGAGTATATGTGGAAATCTTGAGATTGGCTTCTAGAACGTATACAGAGTTGCTCCAAATTGGCATTGTGCTGTAATTGCAAACTTCAGTTCTCTTGTTTGAAAATGCATGCACATAGTGGATGGAACTGTATGAATCAAGACTGAGAAATAGTTGGCTGTCATTGAGGGGTTCTGTAATTTTTGGAAAGGGTCAGATTTTCATCTTGTGTTTGCCACATTTGAGAAATTGCTTGCTTGCTTCAGTCCTAGACAAAATATCTTTTGAGATAATTTTTAAAAGGTTTGGGTAGTTGTATTCCCATTTGTTTTGTTTTGTTTGGTACAGCATGTGTTTCTCCTTTATTTATAGTTACTTAATTTGTTTAAACAGCCTACAACAAATGAGACTATGCATCTGTTATCCTTTCATGTAACTGCAATTGGAGAACATACCTTGTCCTTTATACAAAATGTTACTGACCTGTTGATTTCTTGAGAGTACCACTAGTTAGGTAGTATTAGGTGCATCTGTTTCATATTTCTCTTAAGAAAGGGAGTCCTTTTTCAACAAGAGATTGTGAATGTCAGATAAACAAAAAAACCTCTTCAATTATATATAAAAAGTTTAACTTGAGAAAATATAAGGGCCTATAATTAGGTGGTCAAGATCTTGAAAGCATTGGGCATCACCATATCACTTTCTAATTGGTAAATTAACCCCCTTTACTATTAAACTTGCTGTATACTTTTGGTAATGCAGGTTTTTTCCTATGTGCAGTATTACACAGTTTTATTTGTAGGAACAAGATCACTTTGTGTTTTGACTACACAAGTTACTGCAAACATAACTGAAATGTAAATAAGTAAAATACATAAAAAGAAATACATCTGATATCACTTTATTTATGACATCCATAATATAGTGCTAAAGGCTCATAAAAACATGCCCAATTTGAGTTGAGTGGGTCTTTTGCTAGGTGTAGGATTGCAGCCCCAAAACTAAATTAGATGAAGGACATATGATATATGCTGAGTAGCTGCAATGTAACTAATCTAGCTTATTAAAACGCTGCTACAACTGATTGAGTCTTCAGTGTGATCTAGTCTCTCTTTTTTTCAGAGCAGTATCCAGCACAATTATTTTTCAGTGAAATATAGCAATTCTAACTACTCGCTAGTGCAGGTCATAATCATGTGCTGAATTGTAGAAGAATGTCACATGAGGTTTTCTATGTTGCCTCGTTTGTCTGTATGTATAGAATAATTTTGATGATGCCAGAGACTTATTTACTTGGACATGTAATTATACTTATAGTTTTTGTTGCATACATTTAGAAAACGAGTATTTATATGGAATAAGAGAATCGATGTGATGTAGTAGTTTGAGTGCTGTCCTAAGACGCTGGAAACCAGGGTTTAACATTTTGTTCAGTTTTGGATACTCGCAGGATGATCTTGGACAAGTTACACACTCTTAGCATCAGAGGGAGGCAAACAAAACCCCCACCCCAAACAAACCTTGCCAAGAAAATCCTATGCTAGGTTCACCATAAGTTGGAAACAACTTAAAAGGACACAATAACAAATACAGAATTACCCACTTGATGGTATTTATGAAAAAGTTTATAGTTGTAACTCTATATGACAGCACTGTTATGATTTTTTTCTTAATGTACATGTAGAATTGAATAGCTTGACTGGTTTTGCAGCTATTACAACTTGCTAGCAAAGGCCTCCATGTAAGAATTAATCAGTTGAGCTCTTGAATAAAACATTTTACAGTCTCTTTTAATTGATGGAGCCTTTCCTGGGAGTACAAGTTGCCTTTTAAAAAAAAGTCTTGGGTCAAGGAAATGATCCCCCTAAAGAATTATGAGGTAAATTGGCAAATGATTTCTTTATTTTAGAAGTTTTCTTTTGTTTCTTCTGTTATGTCAACTGGCAACTTTTAATGTAAAAATGAGTGCATCTTGATTTTAAGTACATGTTCGTTTTCCTAGTTGGATGTTGCTGACAATATAAATCTAAATCAAATAAATTTGCCATTTATTTTTTTATATTATTTATTCACTAGCATTCGTATCCAGACTTTCTACCAATAAAAGTACACAAAGGAGTTAGTTGTCTATAGCAAATGATTTTGGCTGGATATAACTGTTTTAGTGTTATGAGAATGAATCTGGGCTCTCCTCATCTTTGTTTGTTTATTGTCTTTATGTAGTGTAACTGAAGGACATAATAATTAATACCAGTGTGTCATACCATCCATGCTCTAATAAATTAACATATGCTTAGTGAAAACAAGCCACCATAACATGTAGTTCAGGCCTGACTTATTTTCAGTATATATAGTTTGACATTGCAAAATCAGAATTAAATGCAAAAGCAGAAAAACCACAAATAAAATAACCCACATTTTAACCTGAGAGAATACTTCCCTAGGGCTCTCTAAATCCTCCAAAAAAAGAAAAAAAGAAAAAGGATCATGCTGGATGATTTACAAATGCATGTAGAAGTATTCTCTCTAGGAATCTCTAACTCCTCCAGCATAATTCATTTTCCTGCTGGGGACCTAAAGAACATAGGAAAATAAAATTCATGAATAATTAAATCATAAGTTAGATCCACAAATGCGAATGCTAACAAACAAAAGTGTCAGAGCAAGAGGGTGAAGTGTTCAAGCCATCTGAAGGCAGGGTCTGTTATCCTATGGTAAAGGTTTAGTGTTTCGTCCATACTGGCATAGTTTGCATAAATGTAACTGTTTTATGGAATCTTGGTGCTAGTCTGAACCTACCCTGGCGTTTCTTGGCAAGTCTTGTTCAGTAGGGGTTTCCCTTTGCCTTTCTTTGAGGCTGAGATGGCATGACTTGCCAAAGGCCACCCAGTGGGTTTTTGTGGCCAAGCAGCTATTCAAACCCTAGTCTCCCAAGTTGTAGTCCAATGCTCAAATCACACTTAGCTCATCTGATTGAACAAGACTTTATAAAGTAGCTTTTCCCAACCTTGGGCTACCATACCCATCATCAAATGTAGACTCTTGTGATAATGTTCAATTATTTATGAGCGTAAATACCCAGCAGCTATGATAATATGACTTCTGAATGTTCTGCCAGCCACAATGTTGAAAAAAAAGCATGGATTATTTAAAAACTGTTTTTATTACAGATGGATGGTGATAACTCTACAACAGATGCTTCTCAGTTGGGAATTGCTGGGGATTACATTGGTGGAAGCCACTATGTGATACAGCCTCAAGATGGTAAGTGTCATACACATAACAATGAGAAGGCACTCTGGGTTGTGCCCCATGATATCCTTTCACCAGCATAATGGATATAGCTGGTGGATCAAAACTGTATCTTAAACATTCTTTAATATTAATAATTAATTGGAATCAAAGTTGCTGGAACATCATGCTGAAATGTTAAGTAAAAATATGAGACGATCGTTTAGGAGTTTTTAATAGCAGTTTTTATTATGGTCAGATGCTAATGGCCTACAGTCAATAGTGTGCTTCCATATACAACACCACCACAATCTGGGATTTTCCTTTCTTGCTGCAGCCTTCAAGTGTAAACCCCATTTATTTTATGGCATCAAAATCTGTTCCAGAGGACCAGATTTTTAGGATGTACAGAGGCATGTAGGTGAAAGGGAATTACTTATTGTGGTGGAAGCACTGAAAGACAGCAAAAGTAGACCATTGTATCCATGGAAAATTTGCTAATACAAAATATAAATATGGCTGTCAGAAATTCTCAGTGTGTGCAGATAATACTTATGTTGCATTTTTAGATACAGAGGACAGCATGAATGACCATGAAGACACAAATGGCTCTAAAGAGAGTTTCAGAGAACAAGATATATACCTTCCAATTGCAAATGTGGCGAGGATAATGAAGAATGCCATACCTCAAACAGGAAAGGTAATATCTTGAATAGAAAGCTTTGCTAGTATTCCTCAGCATTTATGAGATCAAGAAGCTTGGGTTATTTCAAAACATTCACAACTGTATTGTATTCTTTGTGGTTTTAAGGCCAAAGATAATGAACTGTTTGAAATGTGGTATTACATACTCTTTGTTCTTCTGCATCTCTATACAAACTAAAACAAAATTTCTCTTTTCTTCTCACGGTAAGTGTACAAGATTTCAATGACAAATTGACTGGCATTCTTAAAATAAGAAGTAGGCTGTCTTCTCACTGATCATACAGGGGGAAATATAATTAATTCCAAATTCTCTTTTGTGTGATGCATGAACTTTATTTATTCAGGTTTTACAAGATTAATTCTCTCGAATGTTTAATTTTGTTGACGGTTTACATTGGATTTATTAGTGTGTTAATTTATATTATACTGACAAGTACTATTGATTTACTGAATATAAATTATGTATTTTTAGATTGCGAAAGATGCAAAGGAATGTGTACAAGAGTGTGTGAGTGAATTCATCAGCTTTATAACGTCAGAAGCAAGTGAGAGATGTCACCAAGAAAAACGGAAGACTATAAATGGAGAGGATATTCTCTTTGCCATGTCCACCTTGGGATTTGACAGCTATGTTGAGCCGTTGAAATTATATCTGCAGAAGTTCAGAGAGGTGTGTAATTTCTACCTTTCGATTTTCAATGATTTGCAGGATTTTATTTGTTGCAGTTGACTTGTAATGATTTGTAGCACATTAGGATGACTGAATATCCATGTGTTGCAAGAAGAGGAGCGATCTAGCCTAGCCTTTCCCAGATTGTTGCCTTCCAGCTGTGTTAGTCTAAAATACCATAATCCGCAGCCATCCTGTATCACAGCCATGCTGGCTTACAGCAATGGAAATATAGAGAAGAACAGCTGAACAGTATGTTGGTGAAGGCTGACATAGCTGATTTTTCATTGGTAGTAAAGAAAATATATTTATTTGGAAGATATGTACAGGACAGAATAACAAACCTATTTAAATATTTTTCTGGTCTTATATGTGCCCTGTATAGTGTAGTATACAGTGGGACTGATGTATTCGTGGCTTCACAATCCATGGATTCAACCCCGCCATGGATTGAGACATACACAATATTGTACATTTGAATCTACAGTTGGAAGCACTCCAGCCACTCCAACAACTACCTGCTTCTGCTTCAGAGTTCCTTCACAAAGAAGCAGGTAGCCTCTTCCTCCTCCATGGTTGCCCTATGCCACTCTTAAATGAACATTTTTGCAGTTTCTGTGCAAAACCCATGAGTGAACACTTTCACTCTGTGAGGCTTGAAGAGAATCGGGCAAAATGTATTAACTAAAAACTGGCATAGGGCAACAGTGATGGTGGAATTCTTAGAATTCTTTCAGAAAGAATCCAAGTAGCCACTCTGTCTAATGATTCTGCAAAAGCGCAATCTTCCTTTTGCATTGTTTGGGGACCAGCCGCCAACCAGTAAGCAAGAAGGTGGCTCTCCAAGTCAGGTGGCCTGTTGTGCATGCAACCAAACCTGGCTGAGAACAAGCATGTGGGCGGCACTTGGATGAGCCACCACTGACATGAGGACACTGCTTTCTTCCCTGCTCCTTTTTTGTCAGATTTAGGAAAATGAAATCACAGGTACCAGTTCTGTGGATATGGTGGCTGTGCTGTGTTTGCATGCAATGTATTATCATTATTTTCTTTTTTTAAGGCCATGAAGGGAGAAAAAGGAATTGGAGGAGCAGTTGCCACGGCGGACGGGCTCAGTGAGGAACTCACAGAAGAAGCATTTAGTAAGCATTATTGCCATTATATTTAACATTATGATTGGAAGTAACTCATTAACTTTAGCTAGTATTTGTGAGAAAGGTTTACAATAAACGGGATGCAGGACTACTGTTACTGTGTTACTTGCATACCAATCTTTGGTAGCTAAAATGAAATACAAGTTGTAAGATGTACCTTCTGGGCTGTAACCCACATGCATGGATATAATTTGTTGTCACCTATTCTGATCAACTCACAGCTGAATGTGCAGATTGGTTCTGCAAAAAGACTGCATTAGAGATAAAGTGAAATTTCTGTGTTCATTGTACTGGTCTTTAACAAGTGTTAGGAATCCAGTTTGTTTACTTCATTGGATGAGTTATTGAAGTATAAGGAAGAAATGATACTGTTCATGTAGAGATGAAATTTGTTTTTGAGCTAACTTGAATTTAGCCATGGTGAGCAAGGATAGCAAGCAGGACATTGCCTCTGGCACAGCCTGTCCCATTCAGCAGCATCTGTGGACTATGTAGAACATTTTCAAGACGCCGGAGGTGTTACTGTTTCTGCTAGCCCAGTTATATACCTGTATCTGAATCTAGTCCAGCAATACTTGTTTTATATCACTTTTTAAAAGTCTGAAATGTGCATGTGAAATATCCTCACAGGAGTAGAACTATATATGTTTCTGAAGGAGCTCCTTGTTCTAGAAACATTGTCCACAACATGTGATAGGTTTGGAGGAGCTTGTGAATGTTCATGTATTCAAGAGTATTGGCAAACACAGACAAATACAAATACCCCATAGTATATGAAGGAGCAAGGTTTCTGTTTGCTTACAGGAGAGTGTTGGACATGGTGAAAAATCTACCTTGGTTAAGGCAAATTTTGCATGGCAAAACAGCCATGCTGTGTACCAAACTGAAAATATTCATTTGCAGTGTGGAGTGGAAATGTCAGTAGCAAAAGTGGCTGCTTATTCTCAGCTGAAAGCAATAACAGCTAAAATACAAGTTAACTTTGTATTTTAGATTAGGTGTTCTGTATGTTTCCTTATAACATTTTGCTTTCTAAATGAGGTGGTACTCAAGTCTATTCACTGTTGAACTATTTTTTTGTTTTGTTTTTACATGAGTCTGTTAAGTAGCATCAGGTGTATCTGTGTCATCTTTTTTAAAACATGTTGGCACAAAATAGATGTAATTTGGTCTTCTGCATTTGCAGGAGTTGGGGTGCAGTGTGTGAAAACAGCAAATATCTCTAGGCCAGGGTTCCTCAAACTTTTTAAACGGGGGGCCAATTTACTGTCCCTCAGACGGTTGGAGGGCCAGACTATAGTTTGTTTTTGTTTATTTAAAAAACTGCACATATCTTATTTTGCTACTGTTATGAATCGTAATGTAAATATCTGATATGCTGGATGTATTTTCATTGTTACAATCTGAACATAAGGCATAGTGATTAATCACAAAAATAATATGTAATGATACACTGTGAAATATTTATTTCTAATTACAAATACATGAAATTTTGACTTCAAGCATGTCACAGCATGGGTAACAGTTTTAATATAACAGCAGGGAACCCATAAATATGTTTACTGATCAACCTATCAGTTGAACTCCCATCACCAACAGAAAATACTGGAGAGGCTTGAGGAAAATAGACTTTGGCATTTGGGAGTTGCTGGGATGAATAGTTCCCCTGTCAACCATGAGCATTCTGAACTCCAACAATGAAATTAAACCAAACTTGGCATACAGAACTCCCATGACCAACAATAAGTACTGGAGAGCCTTGGGGAAAATAGATCTTGGCATTTGGGAGGTGCTGGGATGTATAGTTTCTCCTCCAACCAAGAGCACTCCAACAATGAAATTAAACCAAACTTGGCATACAGAACTCCCATGATCAACAATAAATACTGGAGAGCCTTGGGGAAAATAGACCTTGGCATTTGGGAGATGCTGTGATGTATAGTTCTTCTCTTTTTTAAAAAATCAATGGGACTTTGCAAAACGGAAGCGCCAAAATGACTCATCTTCAGCCCAGAAGACAAAAGGAAAGCAGATGGTCAACTTGTATGTATCTTTTAACATCCCCCCCCCCCATGAAAATCAGAAGGGCTCCATCTCCTTACTGCAGTGGTTCTCAACCTGGGGTCCCCAGATGTTTTTGGCCTTCAACTCCCAGAAATCCTAACAGCTGGTAAACTGGCTGGGATTTCTGGGAGTTGTAGGCCAAAACACCTGGGGACTCACAGGTTGAGAACCACTGTCTTACTGGATCCAGGGAACGAGAGGCCTTCCATCCCTCCCCGCCTCTGCATGGTGTCCAAATGAAGCCGTAGTTTGAGGACCCCTGCTCTAGGCTCTCCAAACATGCATGTTACAAACTATAGTTCCCAGCTACTGCTGCACAAACCTCCCTTAGCGTCATGATCCTTCTTGAGGAGGATAACACTCAAGGAGATAGTTGCAAGAAGACCAAGCTGACAGCAGTTCATCCTCCTTTTCCACTTGTCTCATTTCCCGCCAATCATGGCCTGTCATTTCCTTTGCTGCTGATACCATGACACCTCTGCCTTGCTCCAAGCCTCCTGCAGCTGTATTTCCTCTTACCACCTTCTAGGACAATGACATTGAAGGAGATAATCAAATCTGTGGAATTTAAACCCATACAAGTAAAAGGCCGATTGTATTTAAGTAGTCCAATAATTGTATGCTGAGCATGATTTTTTGTTTAATTGTGAATATGATAAATTGGTATTATTGTGTATTATGTATGGGTGCCTTAATTAAACAGCTTTTTTTCTCTTTTTTAAGCTAACCAGTTGCCAGCGGGTTTAATAACTACAGATGGCCAACAGCAAAATGTTATGGTTTATACAACATCTTATCAACAGGTATAGTTTACCCAACTTCTATTTCTCTTTGTTAACATTTCAATATTCCAATTTTTTCTGCAGCACAATTCTAACTATTGAATTGGTGAAATAGTTCAATAATCATTTTGCTAGTTGGGCCCTTGGTCTTACTTTATTTTTGTATTTTCTAGATTTCCGGTGTTCAGCAGATTCAGTTTTCATGATGGAAGAAGACCTTGGATTTGGGGACATGAGTGAGATGGTCAACTAGCAAATGCTAGAGGAAAGGAAAATTTAGTTTGAAATGACTGGTAAAAGAGAGAATTGTCACTTTGTATATTCAATAGCTGTAATGTAGCTGCCTGAGGCTTGACTAATTGAGGTGTGAACTCAAATCTTTTTTCATGAATGATTTTAAAAGAAATTGGATTTTAAAGGTATTAAACTATTTTTGTTTTTGTACAAGAGTTTGTTGCTCTGTATAACTCCTGTATGCATTGTATATTGCAATTTACTACTGTCAGAGATTTGTAGACAGTTTCTTATTTTCATATTGAATCATGTTACTTTTGTAATTCTAGTAAACAGCTGGGTTTAAGTCTTGTTTTACCCTTTGAATAAAACATAAGGGTACAGTTCATTTTGAATGCAAGTTGCCTTTCTTATAAAAAATGAGATGAACTTTTCTTTTGTAACTGTCTTGCATGACTAAGTTACAATAACTATTTATTAATATTTTAATACTTTGAAAGGGAATTCCTCAAGCGCCAGCAGTTCAAAATCTCCCAGTTTTTAAGTGTAATAATAGAATTCATGTGAACCTGGAAGGAACCAGTCTTAGAACTTAGCTTTAGAAGCTTGGTACATAATCTTGGAAGAGCTGCTTTGCACAACTTAAATAAAAGAGAAGGGGAATTCGACAAACTGACTACTTGTGCGCAGGGCTAGTTGTGTTATTTGTCTGGGGCCCAGCAGCAGTGTTAACTGTACTTTGTAGTGCAGTCTATTTTGCAAGAACTAGAGAAATGTAGTACAATTTTTGTTGATCCCATTGATTTAGGAGGCATTTGCCCTGTTGTTTTTGAAATAAAACCCATTTTAATTTATGGTCTCTTTTTAAAGAAGCCACATTCTCTTTACTCAAGTTTGAGAGTTTTGGAAAAATTTCATTTTTAAAATAAGGTTCACTTACATTTCAGTCATCAGTGGGATTTCAAATGATATTATTTGTAGAACAGGTGAAACTGTAAGCATGTGTCTGAATGGATCTGAAATGGGATACCTGAGCTTTGACATTGCTGACTGTTTCCTGTCTTTGCAATAAATTAATCTACCTAAATAATTGTACTTAATTTTGTAGATGTACAGATTGTTCCAAAGACAGTATCAGTACATTATTACCTAGGATGGGATTATTATGGCAGTACTGAATTGTACTATTGCTGTTCAAATGCTATGATCATCAGCAATTCATGGTATTTTTATGAAAGATGATCCACTGTAGATGAAATGGTAGCTAAAGATGGCCTATCTGGCTTCTGAAAAACCATGGCCTAGCATCAAGACTTTGAAAATGAAACAACTATGTTTCACTTTTCCTCTCTTTCTCCCTCCCCTTCATTGGAATTTTAATCCATCCTTCTTCACGGCAGCTGTGTAATAAAAGTAACATTTATACGGAGAAACCAGTGTGGCATAGTGGTTTGAGCATTAGACTATTATTATGGGTTCATATCAGCCATAAAAAGCCACTGGATAACCTTGGACAAGTTACACTCTTAGTCTCAGAAAACCCCCTGATAAAGTTGCCTTAGGCTCACCATAAACTGGAAACTATTTGAAGGCATACAGCATCTATATGGATTTTGTGAACTATTTTTTCATGTTAAACCTGACTTCTGCTCTGATGCTTCAGACCTGTAGGTTGGACATGCAGTAGAACTAATGTAAGTAGGTTCTGTCACATGCCAGTAATTGATGGTGGAACAAGAAATTATCAGTTATGGGTGTGATGAGAAAAATCTTCACATCAGATACTTCACCCCTCTATCTTTCCCTACTCTGAACAATAGTAGCAAATACTATAGTGAGCCAGAAAGCGCAGAGACACTGCTGCAAATGGACCAAGCCCAGCAGCCAAATGTTATTTTGTTCTGATAACTGTGTCAACTGGCAAACTAGATTTCTGTCTTTCAGTGGCTTTCTACCAGGGAATTCAAGCTAGGCGAACAAAATTATGCAACAAAACTAGAACATCACCACACAAAACTATCTTATAGCCTATGAATCTTATAGCCTATTTCTGTAACTGCATTATTGGCACTCTTGCAACACACCACCATTGTCCCCATAGATGGTTGTAATACTTGTTTGAAATGTGACAAGAAAAAGGGATTATACTATTTACAAGCTCATGTCAAAATAATACTATCCCAGCTAATAGAGATAAATACACGTATTCTCAGTGTCCAAGGGCACAGTCATGATTCAACAACCAAATGGTTTTGAGCCTGTGGATGGGACACTACTTGTTAAGGCTCAGCTGTCTTACTTGTGTGATACTTTGAATTCTAATAGGAACAGAACTATATATACTTTATCACTTTAGTTGTTAGTTCCTTTTGTTATGAATTACATTGCCTCCATGTTTCCTTACTTTGACAGAAGTTTCTCATTTTCATCATGATTGTTCCAAATAGCAGATGATATTGATTAAAATTGCAATTGCCTTCTGTGGGATCATATTGCACCTATTCCTACAGTCAGTGCAGAATCCTACATATGTCATTGTCTCAGTCTTGATAATAAGTTACCCTTAAGCACTAAAAATACTATTAAAGGTGCAAAGATCTTGCTCATTCACCCCTCAAGTAAGTAAGTAAGTAAAACTTTATTTTTATCCGGCCCTAGTAGCTGATAGTTCACCAGGCATATCCAAGGTATCTTTTAGCACCTTTACAAGTGAAAATGAATGAAAAAACTGACATTTTTTTAGAAAACAATTCTCTAAATACCAGAGATATATCATCCAGCTACATATGCTACCTCCTATAAAGATGAGCAACAACTTTAAATGGTTCATACAGAGATAAAAACACAACCGGTAGGACAAATCACTTTATTATTACAAACAATGCTACTTTTGTTGTACAAAATATTGGATTTCTGTGAAGAAAACACATCAGTCACAAGTGATAAAACAATCATGATCTGGCTTTACTTATCCCCACGTTCCAGTTTTTGTTAAAGTCAATGGCTTACCAATGTGCTCTGCTTGAAAATTATGCTCAAATATTGCTATAAATTATACATCACAATGGCTGTTCGGATTATTATACCCCATCTTAATAAGACAAGATGTGAATTAGCCTCCTCTGCTTTGCTGCCCCAGTAATCAGACCAGGAAAGTTCCAATTCATGTTAAAACAAATGCAAAGCATAGCTAGATTCACTTTTTCTAACCATCTGTCTATCTCTAAATGTTAATCCTAACTAATGTGGACCTGGTGAATAACAACAACTCAAGTTGCCATTGATTGACTGAGCCTACTCTGTTTGGGACTAAGAATTGGATATAGGCAATTGCTTTCTGAAACAGGACATGGTTAAGTACAGGCTTCCTGGAATGCTTAGATCACAAAGATAGGAGCACAATCACTAAGCAAGGCAAAGATATTTCACATTGGCTTTCAAGTTGCAATATCATCTCAATTAGGCCAGTTTCTTGTTCATATAGCTAGATACCCATAGTCACAAAATTCCTTAAATTGAAGTGATGCAGTATCTCATAAATAGCATGGACTTCTAGTTATAACTTTCATACTAAGTCTATTATTCCCTGACATTACTACATGATGGATTCAGATGTATACAAGATGTTACACACATATTTTACAAAAGCAAATAAAAAGAGCTTCTATTAGTTTCTCAAATAGTCAAATTTATATTTTAAGTGAACTTACAGTGGGTATGATAGCCAAATATAATGATTAGAGGCTAAAATAGGCTTCAAATATAAACTCTAAATTGAGATTTATACATTTTAAGTGCTATTGAGAAAAACAGGCCACAAAAATAGTTATATAGTATAAAAACAGGGAGGGGCAACTACAGAGAACCATTATGCATGTTATTAGTATGTTGACTATGGGGGAAACTAGACATGTGACAAATTATATAATAGCCTATGGCTAAGAGCATACTTACACTGAAAATAATGTCTAGATTAACACCACCATAAATTCACCTTTGGTAGTCATGATATCCTTTTTAAAAACAAGTGCAGAAATACATGGAACTCAAAAGTGCAAAATACTCACAGATGTATTCAACAGATCATATTGTTAAGTACTGTATCTACAAACAAAAGTTATTAGTAACTGAATAGCCACACAACAAAATTCTCACATTCTGTCACAGCATGCCTCCCTATCTCAAAACAGGTTGTAAAATTTCACAACTTTTTTTGAGTCTTCCCATGTTTATAAAGGTATATCTTTTCACTTTATGGTCATTGGCAGATCTGGATCTAATCCAGAATTGGAAGTAGTGTATCGAAAGACCATAGTGGAGGGAAGCACACTGCTTGTCTATGACAAGTAAGGGAAGAAACAACACATTCCTGGCCATTTGTGTACCATCTTAGGAAAGCCTCCACCTTTAAAGACTACAACTGCAGAAGTTTTCCAAAATTTGTATTTCACAGTACTGGTTAAGAACAATCTAAGACAGTCTTCCTCAACTGGTTGCCTTCCTACTGTTTTGAAGAGCAACTCCCTATCAGCCTCAGCCAGGCACAGCCAACGCAGGGCAAATCCAAATATATCTTGTATTCCTGAAAAGCAGGGGTGGGGATTTTGTGGTCCTCCAGATGTTGTTCTAGCATACCTCACCAATGGCTATGCAGGGAAGGGCAGCTGAGAGATGCTATTCAACTGTACTTTGCCCACATCCGATTTATAGCTTACGTGTTTTTAATTGCTTAGAAAGATCTGAATCTTAAGCTTTTTCTGGCATGAATGTTGCACAAATCCATTAGAAAACGTAAATAGTTAATAAGTCCAGTCGGTACACATAAGTCAGTGAACCAAATGCTAGACACCTTGGCTGGGATCCTGTGTGTGTTTATAGCTTTGGACATGAAGTTTTATGTACTACTGCTACCCAGTAGTTATCAACCCCCACTGCGGAATTCTGCGGCTGTCGCTTATGGTGGGGGAAGAGAAAGGCATTTCAGACATACTGAAGCTGTTGATCTCAACTGGTGGGGATAAGAAATGAGGGCAAGAGTGCGCAATTTTTTTCATTCCCCCCCAGGATCTCAAGCAACTGAATCTTCTTGGTCTGAATTGTCTCCCCTCCTGTGTCTCATTCCTTCTGACAAGAAGGAGAAGGAGGAGGAGCAGCAGCAGCACCAGCTCTTTGCAGGACTTGACTTGTGCCTGTTATGGGAGGTTTTTGATGGAGTACCAAGGTGAGAGAACAGCTCTCTGTTCCAAATAGGGATTTATATATGCATCTGTCATTAACAGTGTGCCAGTCGTCATTACACAACATAGCCAGCTCTCCACATTCACTGGTGTTAGGGGCATAGGACCCCCATGGAAGTGAAAAATTGCAAATAATGAATTTACTGGGGTTTTTCTTTGTAACCTGAGAGGAATTTCTCCAGGAATCTCTTAAGTCTTCCTGCATGAGTCTATATTGGAAGCTGACTACATAATTGCATTGGAGGAACTAGAGAACTAGTGAAATCCATGAATAACCAAAGTTCCAAAAGTCAAAACTCCAAACAGGAAGGGACAACTGTATGAATGACACTCCTTTTCCAACAGGATGTTGAAAATTCATCTCAGAAAAAGTTAGCATGTAAAGTGAAATGCTGCATAACCTACTTCACTGAGCTGACAGTGATGACAACCGTTTGGCATTTGGGGGTTGGTACTAAAAATTCACCAAATTATAGTTTAAGCCTCTTCTGTGCTTAACTTTTAAGGAATGTTCAATAAAAAAATGCTACTTAAGAGCTATAGGCATTTCCTAATTTTTATTTCATGGCATTATAGATTGTGCTTCAGGATCTGCAATACTGGCCACAAAAACTATGTTCTGATGCACTGAATCGCTTCATGGTCATGTGACCAAGTATTTCTTTCTCAGTATATTAATCTGTTATGAGGATGCAGCTGGAGTACCTTGATCTGAAATCTTACATTAAAAAATAGACCTTATTGAGTGACTTTCAGCAAGTCACTTTTTCTCAGCATAGATTTCCTGGTCTGAAAAATGGGACTACAAGTGGCCTTCCGCAAAGAAATTCTGCAAAGAAATGATTGTAAAACACTAGCATTCCCATAATCCACTTCTAAATGATCTTGTAGATCAAGTGATTCCCACCTTAATTTATTAGGCCTTGAGGGGATAGCGAAGTGCAAAATAGTCACTTTATTGCACATATGTATCTAACCAGGTTTCAAAATAAAACACACATTTTACCAATCTCATTTAGATACAAAAGGGTAAAGTCCACAGGAACCTGCCCAAGAACTCACTCGAATGAACGTAAGTAGCGCTGCCATTCGTAACACGGTGTTCCCAATGGATTGTCCCTTTATGCTATCTTAATCTAGTGTACTGGCATAATTCAGACATTTTACACTATAATTTGGTCAACAACTATCTCTACAATGGCATCTAAATGCCTTTAGTGAGTACACTTGTGTGGTTAGGAACAGATTAACATTCCTATTTAAGAGCTGCTTCCCACATAACACTTTTTGCTACAAAAGGTGTAGGATAAAGATTTACAATGCCATTTGTGAACACCATCCAAACATCTATTTCGGTGTCTGCAAATGGTTTCGATCCTACATCCATGCAGGAAAAATGTGAAGAGGGTTGAAGCTGGCACATTAGTGATAACATGATTAACATTAAACCTCATTATTACAATATGAACATAGGCCAAAAGAAAAAAAAAGCCACAGAGAAAACTAATGGAAATGAAAATGTATGCCACAGAAACATGCAAATATGTGCAAATTTGCTTTTAACTTTTACACTAAAACAAATTTTCTGGAAGTAACACAAAGATGTTACAAAGTTAAATTCACATTTAGTGCAAAATAGCATGAATATGCTGAAACAAAGCATACAGTTTTCTTTTCCTTTTTTTCCCCAAACAAAGCACTCATGATGGAGGACTTTAACGTATAAAAACTGTTGTAAACATTCAAAATATCTACATACTTAGCATTTCTATGCCCACGAGAAACAGTAATAGTAGTGCATTTACACTGACTTTGCTTTTCAGAATAGGAGAGACTAATTTAACAAGTTGCATATCATTGGGACACTTTCAAAGATTACGTGTTTACAAACACTAGAAAAATCTTTACAAAAAGGAATATATTAAAATATTCTATACATTTTAAGTTACTATAAATGAAAATATTCACCTCACAATAAAGTAGCATGGATATGAAATATGAACCAGAAAAAACACTGACAAACCTACATATAGATCAAGACAGGGATGAGCAATTCCTGCACGTTTATGATCTTTCAGTCTGCATTTGGCACATCTTGGGAGACTTGAGGATTGCACCTATTTCTCATGTGATGTCTAGTTAAGAGTTTGTTGGAAGACTTGCCTCTGGTATCACATTGCCTCTACCTGCATTGTAAAATATGAGAAGTTCGGCTGTAATATACAGCTAAGTCAACAGCAAGGATGGAAGCCATGTGACCCTCAGCGCTGGATCACAACTACCACCATTAGTCACCACTGGCCATGTGAACTTAGTCTATGAGGATTAAGAATCAGAATCACAGAATTGGAAGACATCCCAAGGGCCATCCAGACCAACCCCATGCTGCCATGCAGGAACACTCAATCAAATTACTCCTGGCAGATGACCATCCACCCTTTTTGAAAACCTACAGAGAAAGCGACTTCACCATACTCAGAGGTAGCACATTCCGCTGTTGAACAGCTTGCTATCTAGCAATACGGTTGCATGTGTTCCACCTAGAAAGGCCTTAGTTGAATGATTCTGTGTATGTCTATTCAGAAGGAATTCCCATCAAATTCAAAGGAGCCTATTCTCAACTCAGTTCCTACAGGACTGGAGTCTCAAATGGAGAGGCATGACAGGCTAACCCTAGTGTCCACAACTGATTAAATGCAGCCTTTTTGTGAAAGAAGTTGCTCATCCCTTAGCTAACCATCACTGTAAGTAAGCATCATTCTTTAGTTCCTGTCTGGGAAAAATAAGCAGTGCAGAAAAGCACAGGGTCAGTGCAGAAACCAGTGCTGAGTTATGCAGAGAGTTTGCCCTTACAATTGTTTTCACCTGCTGCATATCACTCCCACCGGTAAATTTGAAAACAGTTTTTTAGGAAACAACAGTACTCCAAGAAATATACATGTCAAGATAATAAAGGTAAAAGTTTCCCCCCGCCCCTAGTTGTGTCTGACTCGGGCGGCGGGGGCGGTGATGTTCATCTCCATTTCTAAGCCAGAAACTGGCGATGTCTATAGACATCTCCAAGGTCATGTGCCCAGCATGACTACATGGAGTGCCGTTACCTTCCTGCCGAAGTGGTACTTATTGATCTACTCACATTTGCTTGTTTTCAAACTGCTAGGTTGGCAGAAGCTGGAGCTAACAGTGGGAGCTCACCTGGATTTGAACCGCCAACTTTTCGGTTAGCAAGTTCAGCAGCTCAGCTGTTTAACCTGCTGTGCCACCAGGGGGCCCATATGTCAATATACCTTGCCAGATTAATCAGTATACACTTATGTAAATACGCACAAACACTTCCTGTTTTCCGCACCACTTTTCTGGTATGGGATATTTGGAATGCACACCCTGGCGGCAAGCTGTATATTGGACACAACCCTCTAATAATCTGGGTGTGGGAAGGAAGGGAGACACATCACATGTAGCTGAAATAGATACAATTGTAAATTATGATCAGATCTACCAACAGAAAACATAAATAGGCAATTACTGTGATGAACATTCTTGGGAACTCTTCCTTCCAACGGATCCTCAAGCAGCCCTCAATAAGGTTTAAAACTTGTCAGTTTTCATTTAGAGCTGTTTAAGGAGAAAATTAGCATGAGTTCATATCTGTCATTCCTACCCCATCTTCTTCTAATACTTTTCATCCAAAATAGTGAAGTTTTAAAAATGCAATTGAACATTTACATCTACGAACATTACAGTGAGCCAAATCGTAATCTAGCTCAATGTTGTCTGTTCTGACTGACAGTGACCCTCCAAAGTTCCGTCCAGGGTCTTTTCAAGTTGTAATTGAAGATGCATCAGGGATTGAACCTGGGACCTTTCAATGCCAAGCTTTTGCTCACTGAGCTATGGCACGCTGCTATGAGCTGGAAGCTAATGTGTTGGTGGCTGGGATGGGTACGGATGTCGGTGGCTGGAAGGAAGACGCTCCAAAAAATCAAATGCATACATAACCTTTTTGATATGAGCCAAGGACTCCACACTGAGACCACACTGGATAGAATAGTATAAAAATACAATCTCTATGGGCCCAGTTCTGCACACTTGCATGGCACTCATACTGTGAAGTTAAGACATTTTAAAACAAAATGTTTGGAAGATTTTGTGAGTTCTAATTGCTACTCCACAACTTGCTGTAACAACATGATGCTTCTATTTTGAACCTGACGTTTTCGTTTCTGCAAAGAAAGAGAAATTGCAGTTTAAAACATCCAGCTTTCAGAGAAGATGTGTCCAGCTTTGATGTGCTTTAGAGTTGGTTGAACTCAGGTTTGGGGAATGAACCCTTGGGGAAGGGGAAACATTAAAATAGTTGTGTGCATTATGGTTGGGGAGGGAATAGGCTGAACAGTGGTACTATGATCCAAATGACTTGAAAGACAGCACTGTAGTTTGAATTATCTTGTCCTTTTACGACAGAGTGTTTAAAAAGTAAAAGAAAAACGAACAAAGGACCTTTGGGGAACAAACAGAAGGAGAATGTGACAACAACAAACTGCAAACAGAAGTGGAAAAAAGCAAAACTGGGAGTGAGATGCACCCTCATCTCACACTGCAACCTACATCATGAACAAAGACATAAATGCACTTAAATGGGATGTTCGTATAAGCCTCGTAGAGGTTTAAAAGAAAACTCAGGAGGAAGAGAATGGCAAGAAGTGGCATTAAACAAGAGAATGCTGGATGAATTCTCAGTGGTGCTGACTTACATTCCTATGGTCAATCCTATGTCTCACAGGATTCAGGATACTAACTATCCCATATCTGGAATTCCAAAATCCAAAATACTCTAAAACTCCAAAGTATCCATATAGATGGTTGAGTAATGTTAGCGAAATCACTTTTTCAAACATTAATTAGAGATACAAGAGAAAGGTTTGGACATCTAGGTAAATCATTTCCTTTACCTTGAAGCCACCGAACTTGTGTGGCTGGTCCATATCCCCTCTCGTTTTTGGCTGAGATCCGGAACACAATGGCAGGTTTGGATGTGTGATCGACATGGGCATTTGCAAGCTGCGCAGCAGTCACTGTACATGAGGTCTTAAGGCCACAATAGATTTTCATAAACATAAGCTGACTAGGATTCTCATGGAGCTGGGTGGTTCTTATAGCCAAGTAGGCGGAATATTCCAGGATATTTCCTGAAGGCGAAACAGGAGGCTCCCATGAAAGGTGAATACAATCAGCACTCTGAAGAGGAGGAAATAACATGCACATCATGTACCATTTATATTTCAGATTCAGTTTGAATAGAAAGATAATTTTAGGGAGCTAAACCTAAATTCAGAAATAGGATTGGTTAAGGTGTGTTAAAAACGTAACACAGAGTACGTAACACAAACGTAACACATGAGTGTGTTAAAAACGTAACACAGAGGGTTGCTGTGAGTTTTCTGGGCTGTATGGTCATGTTCCAGAAGCATTCTTTTTTGATGTTTCACCCACATCTATGGCAGGTATCCTCAAAAGGTTGTGAGGTTTTTTTGGAAACAAGGCAAGTGGGGTTTTATATATCTGTGGAATGTCAAGGGTGGGGAAAAGAAATCTTGTCTGTTTGAGGCAAGTGTGAATCCTGCAATTGATCATCTTGTTTAGCACTGAAAAGCCTTGCAGCTTCAAGGCTTGGTTGCTTCCCAACAGGGGGAATCCTTTGTTGGAAGGTGATGAGCTGGCCCTGATTGTTTCCTGTCTGGAATTTCCCTGATTTTGAGTGTTGTTCTTACTGTTCGGATTTTAGAGTTTTTAAATACTGGTAGCCAAATTTTGTTAATTTTCATGTTTTCCTCCTTTCTGTTGAAATCCACATGCTTGTGGATTTTAATGGCTTCTCCATGTAGTCTGACATGATGGTTGTTAAGAGTGGTTCAGCATTTCTGTGTTCTCAAATACTATCCTGTGTCCAGGTTGGTTCATCAAGTGCTCTCTGATACTGTTCATCTTCAACTTTCATCTGCCCAAACCAGCATAGCTAATAGCAAGGGATGATGGGAGCTGAAGCCCAATATTACTTGGAGAACTGCAAATTTGCCATCTTTGATCATGAGAACTTAGTACCTGTCACCTATTTCTATCACTGTTTTCCATTGGAATAAGAGCAAGCTGCCAAATTGCTTTTTTCGGCCTGCACAACACTAAACAATCCACCAGGTTTCATGTTCATTTCTCACCTTGCTAATTTTGACAATGGAAGGCGCGCCAGGAAATCCAGGGATGCAGGTTTTGAATTCACTGACTTTACTGAATGGCCCTACGCCACAGCCATTGATTGCAGCAACTCTGAACCTGTATAAAGTGCCAGGAGTAAGATCCTGTTTCTTAAGTAAAGTGTCATTGGGAACATCTGCATTGTCTCCCTAAGCAAAACAAAACAAAGAGGAACAAAATCATGTATTTGCTTGATAATTTTAAGAGTCCAAAGAAGCAAACTCTAGCTTGTTATCTTTGCAGAATGGGCATCAGGAACCTGCAGCTGATTCATCTTAATAACACAACCTACCTTTTAATCATATTTAGAGATGTCAAACTGCACTGATCATAAGATGATTCTTAATTCTTGAATCTAAATCTCTCTCCCTTCTTTAGAATCATTGCAGGTGTTTTTAAACTAGAAGATGAATTGAATAAACAGTTACCTTGCCAGAAATAAAGGCCTTTTCTTCTGTTAGTAAATAAAATTGATTCACTAAACCAGTGTTGCTTTGAAAAATACCAACATCGTGCCACCTTCGTTCCTGTGTTCTCACCCTTGCATTCGGCTTGGGTGGCGATGTTTTCTAGGGTTCGGAAAAAAGTTTCATGAAAGTATGGATGGCATACATAACAATAATTTATAGTACAAGCATACACACATCCTTGCATTGCTTAATATAAAGAAGAAAGACAAGGACCTTGTCTTTCTCCATACTGGCAACAAATATCCTGCCAACACTATGGAGAATACACACATTATCACATTAGTGATTCTCAACCTGTGGGTCCCCAGATGTTTTGGCCTTCAACTCCCAGAAATCTTAACAGCTGGTAAACTGGCTGGGATTTCTGGAATTGTAGGCCAAAACACCTGGGGACCCATAGGTTGAGAACCACTGACATATGTGCACTGGCATGTTATCAGCACCACCAAACATTTTTAGGTATTCAAAACATGAATCAGCAATATGATTACAATTTGATATCTATGTTGCAGTGGAACTGAGGCTCAAAGTTATCAAAGCTTTTAAATTCTGATGGCTACAAATCTTTGCTCCTTTTTATTGATTTTGTAAAAATATTTAGATGATATATCTTAATTGCATATAGTTTTCTTTTTCCATCTGAATTGGGAATATACATTTGTTACTTTGCAAACCAAAACAAAATGTCTCTGCTGATATGGATTGATAGTTCCCCTTGTGCAACTTTTTAAAATTGCAGTTTATACACATGATATTTCTTCAGTATAACAATGGCAGTATAGTATCTAAACTAATAGCATGTATGCTGTCATCCTATATATAGTCTTGTAAATGAAACTTCACTGTTTACTCATCTCCAAAATATTCTACTAGCCTAATGAGTCTGACAAAGGTAGGATTAAGAATCTTATAGAAGCCCCTCTTTCTTTTTTCCTTTGGTATAAAGGAGATGGTTGCTAAATCAGAAAAAAGGATTCTTCAAAGCCAAGTGTTTGGGGAGCATGCACTTTTTTTTAAAGGGAAGAGGGGGGAGTTAGTGTTGCAACTAATGTGAAAAACTCAAATGTGCAGAAGAGTATGTTGCAAATCATAGTGAGTTTGAGGACTTCCGGTGCAAGCGCACACACATCCCTGCAAAAGTGGTCCCCCCTCTGCATTAGAGGGAGGGAGACAACTTTAAAACTATGATGCCTATCTACATTAGTTCAACTACCAAAACAAGCTTTATTAGCTAGCCAAAGGCGCTCAGTATGTGGCATGGCATATTAACTCACTTTCTTTCACACAATGCATGTACTTACAGGCAATTGTAGAGCTGAACTAATAGAAGTGTCTCTAGTTGAGGACATAGTAGGCTCTTTAGCTAAAAGAAAAAGAACGCATTTACATTTCAGTAAATATAGCTTTCAGTGGCAGTTTTTGAATGCTTTTCACGGATAATGCTTCATTAGGCATAATTAAAATGTAGAGACATTCTTTTTAGAAAGCAGTCCTAAACTACAACTAATTATTTATTTGTAGTATTTGTATCCCACTTTCTCTCTCACAAGGAGACTCAAAGCGGCTATATGTCAAGAATATAGTTTCATGCAAGTACACACTGAGTGGTAGAAACACGGTGGAATTAATTAATACATATTGCTGATTTTAATGAATCCCTGACAGCGAGCATAAACAGTAAACAGGTGCAGTGGATTTTGAAAGTAAAAGAATCATAGAATCAAAGAGTTGGAAGAGACTTCATGGGCCATCCAGTCCAACCCCCTGCCAAGAAGCAGGAATATTGCATTCAAATCACCCCTGACAGATGGCCATCCAGCCTCTGTTTAAAAGCTTCCAAAGAAGGAGCCTCCACCACACTCGGGGCAGAGAGTTCCACTGCTGAACGGCTCTCACAGTCAGGAAGTTCTTCCTCATGTTCAGATGGAATCTCCTTTCTTTGTAGTTTGAAGCCATTGTTCGCGTCCTAGTCTCCAAGGAAGCAGAAAACAAGCTTGCTCCCTCCTCCCTGTGGCTACTCTCACATATTTATACATGGCTCATCATGTCTCCTCTCAGCCTTCTCTTCTGCTGCCTAAACATGCCAGCTCTTTAGCCTCCTCATAGGGCTTGTTCTCCAGACCCTTGATCATTTTAGTCGCACTCCTCTGGACAACTAAAATGATCAAGGGTCTGGAGAACAAGCCCTAAGAAGCATGATTAATGAAAGATTTTCAGTATAAAGGCCATAATTTTTTTAGATGCAATGAGTTTTACAAAGAATGCCCAAACTTCTTCAAAGCACTGATAAAATAGTTTTACTCAAAATTCATGAACACGGAAACAAATAATCCAGGCTTCCACAGTTTGTATGGCAAATAAAATGATAAACTGAGTGAAAAAAGATATCAAAGAAAATAGATTCAACAGGAGGAAGCGCTTCTCATAGAAAATTATGACCCTTGGGAAAGAAATGTATTATTTAGATGTTCAGAATTCACAAACCCCATACTTATGGATAGACGCAATTAGAAGTCACCATAAAATAATAGCTGATATCTACAAAAATACCTAATGAAATGACTAATTCTTCCACAATTGAGAAGGAAAGTTAAGACATTTTAAATGTTTTTTAAAACATTCTTTTCAAAAACAACTAAAAAAGAAACCAGTGCCAATAACTGGGTGGTAGAAGACATAGCTCCATCTTATTAGTCTGCATGAACAGATCTGAAAATAAAATGAGACCTCCCTGGTTAATCTAAAGGCAGTATTCTATGCTGTCTGATCGTGCACGATAAAGCACTGGATTGATCAAACCTCAACCTAATTAAGGAAAGATAGGAAAGAGCCTTAGTATACAGAGCCTTAAGCCAGTCAACAAACCCATAGTTACCTGTTCTATCTGGACTAGGAAATGATGATTAATAGCGTTGGAACCAGGACATTAACCATGTTTTAAAATTGTTTTAATGTACTGTTCTTTTCCCCAAATCTGATAACTAGTTTTTACAACTCACACAAACTATAGGCAACTGAAGACTTTGTGATTTGTTTACAGACTTAATTGCCTGTGTGACAAAAGGCTTATTTATATCAGTTTAATAAGCTCTCTGCCATATGAGATACAAAGTCACAATGAAAAAGAAACAATAAAGATGGTGATATTTTGATTCAAAATATATGGAATGTGAAACATGTCAAACCTTCAGGTTTTGAAGAGGCTGCTGTTAATGACGTTTCATCTTTTAAAGCTGCCCCATTTGTACTTGATGACTCAGTTTTAACAGCCTGCTGGGATGCCACATTTTGTGCAGTAGAGGCAATACCGGATACTGAAGTGTCCAGTTTTTGAGATCTTGAGTCAAAGTCAAGTAATTCAGTCACATTTACTGAAAGGAAAAAAACACCACACATATTATGAGTGACTTCAAAAGCATGACAAATCCAAGGTTTGGATTTCTCTCAGAAAAAGTTGTGACCTCAATTTCCTTTAGAACTAGGCCTGGCTTACAAAGGCAGCAAACAGAAGTGATAAAATATCAAGGGGTAAGTATGACCATACACCACTTCAGGCTGCAGACATAAGTTATGCCTTTTTTGAATCCTAGTTCACAAGGTCAAAGAAAAACCTCAAAAAACACTGAGGAAAGGTCTAGATCAGTCTTTCCCTGGCTGTGCTATCCAACTGCAAGGAAGTTTTATGTTTTTGATAACAAAGTCCACATTTAAAAATATGAGCCCTTACCAACAATGTTATGTTGTACCATTCATTATGGTGGGTCAAAAAGTAATGCTTCCATCGCTCTAACTTTTATTACTTTCACAGCTACTGGATTATCTATATGCAGTGGTTCTCAACCTGGGGTCCCCAGATGTTTTTGGCCTACAACTCCCAGAAATCCTAACAGCTGGTAAAATAGCTGGGATTTCTGGGAGTTGTAGGCCAAAAACATCTGGGGACCCCAGGTTGAGAACCACTAGATTAGAATCATGAATCTGAAGCTAAAAGAAAGAGCAGTCATTGAATTTCTGGCAAAAGAAGGTTGTGCACCTAAGGAAATCCATAATCACTTGAAGAATTTTTATGATTTGGCCCCTTCTGACTTTTACCTATTTGGACCTCTGAAAGGCAACCTACATGGTTTCAGATTCAATGACATTGAACGACATTAAAATAGCTTTCAAATCATGGGTCATGAAGCAAAACCCTGAATTTTTCCAAAATGGTTTTGATGCCTGAGTAAAACGGTGGCACAAATGTGTACAAATTGATGGTGACTATGTTGAACGGTAGTTTTGAGTAGAGGACAGTTCAGGCTATGATCTGTAGCAACTTCTGTTATATATTCATTCATAACATTTTTATGACACAGGAGGCAAAACTTGTTGACCCATCCTCATACTTCCTCATTCAATTTAAATGCAAACCCTAGCCTACATACAGGATTTCGAATACAGAGATTTGGGAGTTTATTTGCGTGCTTTTAAAACAACACGTATTGAGGACTAGATTCCTGTACAACTCCAGAAACTTCTTTCAAAATTTCAAAGACGGGGAAGAAGTATGAATGGGATTCAAGAACACACAAGACAAGTTTTCCAAGATGAAAGCCTAGAGGGCATACCATGTTTTATTTGGCACAAGTCTTTCTTTCTTCCAACAGATGAAACTGATGAAGTTGGCAGTAACTCTCTAAACCTTGTGCCAAATAAAACTTGCCAGACTTTAAGGTGCCACAGCTCTTTGCTGTTGTTTAGACAAGATAAGCAACCTCTTCTACAGACAAGGCAACTGTGCTGGGGACATGGTCTATCTCCCCCCTGCCCCCCAAACATACACAAACTATCAAGTCACTGGCAGATTCAGTATTGCCCAATTAAAGTAAATCATTCTGAAAAGAAGATCTGCTTTAAACACGTGGCCATATACTGGAAATGTCTTGAACTTCCTGAAATCATGGTTCTGCAAATATTGCGTCTCCTGTTCCTATCAATTCCATCATGGCTTCTTCATTCACTGAGAAACCATCTGTTTTCTGAAAACATTGGTTCCATTCAACTCTACCTTGGTTCATTTACTAAATCAACACTGAAACATATTTTTTTGTCCTCTATACAGCTGGAACTCACCTACATTTCTAATTCCATTTTCACTGACCACGTATGCTCCTCTTACCTAAAGTGCTACCAGGTAAACGTAAAGAGGCACCAGGCTCTTTGGAAACGGAATTATTTTTCTTTGCGTTGTCAGGTTCCAGAACCTTTCCTTTACTCTCTGAAATAGAAATTTGTACCTAAACAGGGAGAACAAACTGTAATTAGTTTACAATAAAATGATTTGCTATGTCAGCCTCACCAATGATTGTCCCAAAACTGAAGAAAACCTCCAAAACATGTGAAAATATACAAAGTTACCCCCCAAGCACATAGAATCATTTAATACCATTCCTAATGGTGTTTCCATCTTCAGCCCTTCTCAAAATGGTGAGGGGGTTTTGAGGGGGCTACAGAGGGATATGGAGGTAACAGATATTTGATTTTGGAGGAGGACAGTCTGTAGAGGGTTGGAGGGGCAACTGGCCCACACCTTCCATACAGTTCCTGCCTCCTCTTTTTGATCTTTCTGCCATTTTCATGAGTCTATATTTCACACACAAGACTTAGCAACCAAAGTACAGAATTGAACAGCAGTATCAAAATTCTGATGGTGTCTGTACTGAGCAAGATCTTTTAATCAGCTTCTGTAATAATGAGTATGTGTTTGGAGCCCATAATGTTTAATGTTCAAATGAAGTCATGGCCTCATCTTACTACATTCCCTCACATCTTGCTACACATTTTGCTGCACAGACAGATTAAAGTCCTTCAATCCCTGAAAAAGATTGTGTAGGAGGAAAGGAGATGAACTTTAACTTAAGACTATAGGTGAGGAACATATGGTGGGGCGCCCTTCTGATGTTAATGGACTGTAATTCCCATTAGTCACACCCAGCATAGCCAAGTTTAATTACTCATATGAACTGCAGTCTTCAAGCTGACCACAGTTCAAATAAAGAATATTTCTTCCCTAACATATTATAAATGTTTAGAAAATCCAAGCTTTATCCTTCATGAATATATACTTACATTGTTTGGAGCTTTATTGGGAGTTTGGCTATGAAGATCCAACTTGATTCCTGAAGGAAAGACAATGTGCATTAACTGTAGGTTTTGCTGCAGAGAAGTACTATCTTTCATATACATATGACAAACAGTAAAAGATTGAAGCTTTGAGATACACTGAGGGCTATTATCCCATGTAAGTATCACACAAGGATTCAGTTTGTTTTCATATCACTATCAAAAAATTGGGCCCCCTGGTGGCGTAGCGGGTTAAACCGCTGAGTTGCTAAACTTGCTGACCAAAAGGTTGGTGGTTTGAATCTGGGTTTGAATCCGAGGTGAGCTACAACTGTTAGCCCCAGTTTCTAGCAACCCAACTGTTCAAAAACAAGCAAATGTGAGTAGATCAATAGGTACCGCTTTGGCGGGAAGGTAGCAGCACTCCATGCAGTCATGCTGGCCACATGACCTTGGAGATGTCTAGAGACAACACCAGTTCTTCGGCTTAGAAATGGAGATGAGCACCACCCACCAGAGTCGGACATGACTAGACTTAATGTCAGGGGAAACCTTTACCTTTACTATCAAAAATAGTGATATGAAATTTGTTTCTTATGACAACATATTCAAAACTGAAAACAGACAGTAAGAAGGAAACATATGGTCTGTTGGACTGCAACTCCTATCAGCATTACCCAGTACAGACTATAATCATAGATATTGGAGCTGCAATACATCTCTGTAAGGGCATAAGTAACAGAGGGGTTCCTATATTACACACAGTCACTTTTATAGTGCACCAGGGAACATTTCAATTCCAGAAGTCATTACAATATTAACAGTGGAAAATAACTGGCTCTATTGAAGGAAAATTCAATGAAGATAGGAGGTCAAGAAACATTAAAGCTTCATGATTTTTATACGAATATTAATTTTCTCAAGATCTGTCTTCAGCCAACATTCTCTAGCATTCCTTCAAAATTATTAGAATGAGCAAATATGAAACTGGAAAAAAACCCCAGAGTCTATGAAGCTTGAGGAAAGCAATATGTTTAATTCTGGGAGTAGAAGCCTCTTGGTAGTCTCTCATCTGTTCTAATTAGGGCTGAGCTTGTTAGCTTCCAAGATCAGATTGGGTCTGCACTTTAGGATATTTAGGCCCTTATCTCTGCCACCACCACCCCCGCCCCCCAGTATCACCTCAAAATTGATACACACCACAGGTCTTTAAGAAAGAGAAAGAAGCCTTACAACTGTTTTGCCAATAATTTCAATGAATGTTGAAAAACCATCTGTATTACCTGAAGATGCCTCAGGAACCACAGTAATGGGCATTTCAGCCACAGGTGTTGGAACGTCCAAACTCAACTGAAGAAGATACCCCTCCACAGTAGGTACTTCATCCCACTTGACTTGAAATGAATTAGTAGTTGCTCTGATTAGCTGTACCTGTGAGGGTGCTGGTGGTTTCTCTTAAAGAAGAACAATAAGCTCCAATTACATCAGGACAGTTTAAGATCCCCCAAGAGATGCATGATTTATGCTACATTCTACAGAATAAAGATAAAAATAGGTTACAAATGTTCATCCATAAAGTTATCAAGATTATTATTTGATCACTCACCTGTATCAAGATACCAAAGATCTTTGCAACAAACTTGATTGTTCCAAGCTTTCCGATAGCCATCTCTGCCACTCCATATATACAAGCGAGTGCCAACTACAACAGCACAATGACCAGCTCTTGGGCCAGGCAACAAGTTATTTTTGTCTTCTTGGCAATCTGAGATTAGACCTATCCATTCCTTAGTATCTAATAAATAAAACGTAACAAAAATCAGTGAATGAAAGCATGGTGGTTCTCAAACTATCACTTTAAATCTATCTAGAGAGTACTAATTGATCCAACAGGTATGAGGAAATTTCCACTTTGAACACTGTGTTTACAATCCAAAAATCAGATATTTTCATGGCTGCAAATTTTGTAATTTTTAAGTAACCAAATGTTTGGTAAAGAATTTGCATGACACTCACATGAATTTATTATTTATTTATTTACCACATTTATATCCCGCCCTCCTCAACCCTGATCTTTTAACATGTATCTTTTAAAATGAAATGTAATACTTGAGATCTTCTGCTTGACAAACTACAGAGTGGCAGAAACCCCAGCAGAATAAAAATTATGCCACTTCCACCATGTGAGGCCTATACGTACTCCACCAATTATACAGGGTGGTTTTGTAAATTAAAAACAAAAGCATGAGGATACTAACCTAAGTTTAAGTAAGAAAACGAACCAGTACATTTCCATTCTCCATCTTGAGAAGACAAGTTTTCATCTATGTTCTGTGGAACCCATCCACCAAAAACATACATTCTGCAAATAAGGAGGGCAGGGAAGATAGGAAGAAAATGGTGCAAGAGATAAACACATTTATTGTCCAAGGGTTTTGTTTTTGTTGTTTTTTTGTTTTGTTTTGCCATAGGTCATTTCTTACACTGTTCCAAAATTTCTGTCATAAATCCAACTGTTTTCTCCCTAATTAGAGAAGAATAGTGGAATCTTTGGGAACTTGATAAGTCAACACCCATGTATGTTTTGTGGATTCAATGGATTTACACTCGTACATAGGTCAATATTTCTTTCTCTTTTTAAACTAGCTTCATTCCTTTTCTACCAGTTCCGACTTTCTGTGTCACACTGCAAGCTGTTCTCTTTAATAATGTTCTTTTATATTGCTTGTTTCCTAGATTAGTGATTCTCAAACCCTGACCTCCCAGATGTTTGGAACTTCAATTACCACAAGTCAGTTGGGTTAATGGCATGGGATTCTGGGAGCTGAAGTGCAAAACATTCCACCTTGTCTCTCCCATAACAAACCCAAGTAAAAAAAAAAAAGAATCCCACCTATGCTATTTATCTGGCTTGTAAGGGAAGAGAAAATCAAGGCTGTTGGGTTTGGACATCACAATAAACAAACCATGGAATAAAGGTTTGTTTAGCTGCATCCATTTGCAGCAGGACCTATCAGGCAGCATGCACAACTGTAAAATCTGGATGTCACAATATAAAAAGTGGGCAGGAAGTTGTGGTTTATTTACAGTATGAATGATCCAACAATGTACACCAGGGTGCTGTGTTTGTATTTTGGAATACCTGCTTTTGCCTATAGAGGCAGTCCCCAAGTTACAAACATCCAACTCATAGTTAAGAATGGGGTGGGACAACAGGAAAGAGAAATCTACCTCTCAGAAGAGAAATTCAGTCCTGAAAAGCTGTCTCAACTGAAGCTTTAGCACCAATCCTTGTTTCCAGAACAAGTCAATTTTTTTTTCAAAATCCAATTATCACAACGACGGAAAGTGACGTGAAATCTTCTGAGCAGAGGCACAGACAGGAAAGCAAAGACCACACAGGTGTTAACTGGCTGGAGTTAAACTTTAAAAATGTACCGTACCTGTTCCAACTGACATACAAATTCAACTAAAGAACAAATCTACAGAAACTATCTTGTTCGTAACTTGGGGACTGCCTACATATACCCAAGTCTAAACATAAAATGAGTTTATGATTCATATATACTCTGTACTCATCACCTGAAGGTAACTTTATGCAATATTTTAAATAATGTTGTGCATGAAACAAAGTTTGTGCACACTGAACCATCAGAAAGCAAATGTATAACTATCTCAGTCACTCAATTGGACAACTTTGGATTTTGGGAGAATGGAAGCTGCCCCTTCAGAACAAGCAAACTTATTTTAACAAAGCTTTTGAGTTAACAGTAGCAACACAGTAAGAAGTTAGGGTTATGTACACAACAAGGTGCAAGGATCCAGTAAATGGTGTGATGGATTTTACTGCTGTACAAAACTAAAGTGAAAAGAATTGAGACCTACACAGTTATTTGCCTGGAAGATTACTTGCAGCCCCATGTAAGACGAGCATATGCCCATGACAAATGTAATTTTTTAAAAAGATGCCATGCACAATTCTGTCCAGAAGAGATAAGGCTTAAAGAAGGCTCAATAAAAGAATTAAGAAGCAAATTAGATCTGATTAACTCACTCAAAGCATGACCAAGTTGGAATTAAGTTTTCTTTCTATTTATCATTTATATATAACTTTTTTAACCATTAGGTGATTGACAACGTGTATTTAACACATTAAAACACTCCTCAAAATCATTTAAAGCTAGACAATGAAAACATAAAATATCTTACAGTATACATGTGCCATGTTTCCAGTTACACAATGGACATTTATAGGAGCTCTAGCCAGATATTCAGCCAACGTACAGCAGGTGATGGTGGTAGGAATACTGGGACGTTGACCATACTGTTCCTGGGCTTTTTGAAGTTTACATGCATAAGCCTACTCATGATGTGGTCTTCATGCACTGGCACATAGAAAGTGACATTCAGTTTGTGGATGCTTGGAAGAAAAAAGTTTGGTAGACACAGTGCTGGAACAAAACCTTCTGACACAAATCCACTTCTCATGGTGTGTTGGATTAGAGATCTGAATAAGACTGTGACTGTTTATTGTACATGTAAATGGATAATACTAACAGTACCAGTAGCCAATAAATATACTTAAAGTTCTTACCTGCTATACTTAAGCCTGCCCACACATCTCAATTCAACTTCTAGTTGGGCTAATATAGAGTAGCTCTTATTATATTTTATTACCATTTTATTTTCCCCCTAATGTATCATTGGCATACTATACAGAATGAACAGGGGTTGTTCTTATCAAAATAGTATGTAAACAATGCTTAAACTTCAAATAGCCTACACAGAACTGAGCTGAGCTTTGCAGTCAGAGACACTTGTTTATCCCTGAAAAGAAAGCACAGAATTAAGCTATTCTTGGTATGTGTTGTGGCAAACAGCTGAAATAACCATTTGAGCCTGTCTAAGATGTCATTTAAATTGCTTCCTATCTTTACACCACCAGCATTGCTAGACTAAAGGCCCAATTCCCAAACTTGAATTTGACCTGGCCTTGGAATCAGAAAACCTCCTCATTCTGATATCCAGAATAAGCTGTCATATTGCAGCGATATAAGTTATGATCAGTTCAAAAGTCAGCATCTTTTGTTTCCAAAGCGACAACCCTACTACTCTAGGAGACTAGTGGGCCCCAATTGCCTCCAAACAAGCTTAAATGTTCTTTGGGGTATGTGTAGAATTTCCCCAATGATTTTTATCCTCCTCCCCAGTCATTTAAATCTCAGGAGAAGCAATTTTACATTTGGTGGTCACAGTGGACTGTGTATTCCTCTGCTTTAAACTGATAGAAAGCTTTGCCTTTTCTTTTCCCAAAGGATAACATATGGTTCTAACTAATTTCAAGTCATGACTCTGCAATCAATTCAGAGAATTAAATGTCTCTAAAGGAAAGTTATTTGTTTGTAGGTAATCACCCAAATCAAAGCAATACGCTTCAGTTCCTGGGTGTTCTATAGTCAATTCTTTCACCTATAGGAAAGCTTAGTATATGGCTGATGGTAACTAGCTTTCACAGAGATGGGCACAGGCAGGATCCCTAAACACAAACGCTAAAGTAACAGTCTCCTACTAGGTGTACCTTTCTATAGGTGAGCTTTTAACAACAGACATACTTGTTTCCTATTACACTGGCTGTATGGAGACTACGAGGAAGTGGAACTGTCCCTTTAGATTCTAATTTCGACCAAGTCATTGATTCTGTTAAGAAAAAAAATCAGAAGGAAGGAAGGAGAGAAAAGGAAGGAAGAGATTACTTCTTTGAACATGATATCATTTCATTTCTTAAATGCCTGCAAAACACATAATGGCACATAAACCTAACTGTTTAAGACAGAATTATCTGCCTACAGTTCTCAAGGAATTTATACAGCTAGTACATAGACCTAAAGTAACACACGGACAAGGCAGAGTCTGTGGATTGTTATACTTGCAAAAACAGAAGTGAACAAGCTCTGGAAAAGGAGTAAGATTCTTTGATCCACCCAGAACCCACTTGAGGCTGTACTGTGTTTCTATGCCACCAAATTTGTTACTGCTCTGTTGAATTCTGATGGCACAGCAAGAAACCCCACAGATTTAGTTTTGGAAACAAGCTATATGGGGAATATGTGGCTTGTGTACAGCAAAACTGTGTTTCCAAGAGGTTTCCAGGAGCACAATTCTGCTTTAAAATAAGGTGCATGCTCCTCATATCCTTTAGGATTTGGTGGAGAGAGAATTTCCATTAGTATTCCACAATTTCAGTGGCAGCTGGGCCAGTGAGAGTAGGGATTATAAAATAGGCAGGAGAACCTAGCCTTCTATTGCCCATATATCTCGTGTTGTCTACCTCAGTTTTAGGACAGAGTTATCACTATTACAAATACTTAAATACTTTAAATAATTCTTATCTGAATGATTCTGGTGAACGTATCTTCTAATAGTGAGCAATTTGAACCCACCTTCACGCATTTTAAGAATATAGTCAGCCCTCCACATTCACTGAGGTTAGGGTCACAGGGCCCCCAAAAAAGTGTAAAATTCTGCAGTTTTTTTTTAAACAATCACTATTTCTTCAATCTGAGAGACCAACTCTCAGGGAATTGGTCTCCAGTGTGACTCAATGGTCAAATTCCTATGGAAGCTGACAACAGAAGCATATTAACTGACCTAAAAGTGCTTAGAGAAGTGTTCTCTTTAGGTCTTCCAGTACAGCTCTATGATCAACGTATGACAGAGTTGACCACAGAATCATATTGGAAGATGTAGAAATGACTAGAGAGAACATATTACTCAAATCTGTGTATAATCAAATTTGCAAAATGTCAGATCTGCAAATGTGGAGGGCCTACTGTACAGCTGAAATATTAACGGTGAATTAAACAAAAAGGTATTTTTTAAAATATGTGGTATCATACAGGCACACCTGATGGAAAGGAGGACTGGTTGCAGCTCCATGTCCAAAATATATAAGGAGGCAAACTTGTATATGTTTTAATATGTCTTGTGTTAAAAGAAGAGGCTGCACAATGAGTGCAATATACACAATATACACTGTGCACTTAAATTATGAATTCTTCAGAACTAGTAATTCTTTGGTGTGCAAAACACATGGAAATACTTTTTTGCAATTTGACTATGCTCACCTATGTCAAGCTCCCAAAGGTCATTAAGTCGACAGCCAGACATCCCTCCAAAGATAAACATCTTTGCATTTCCAGAGTCTTTCCTACAGTATATAACGGCTGTATGAGATTCTCTGGGTGAAGGCAAAACACCTTTGGTTACTGGAATACTCCAGCCTGTGACTCCTGAACCATGCTGGAGCTCCAATTCATAGAAATCATTTAAATACCTAAGGTGTGATGATGAGAAAAGAAAAGTCAGTAAAACCCTCACTCTATCAATATAGTACAAATATTTTGCTGCCAAAATGATGGGTAGTTTAGGAAGACCAAATAATTTGAAGGCGATAACATATTACTTTGGAATTCTCTCCCACAGACAGTTGCCAAAGTCAAGGTATATATGAATGTACACATTCAAGCAAAAAATAAAATAGATATGTTCTAATTGCACATAAGGTTTAAATATTAGGAGGCCAAAACAAGGAATTCTAAGTATTCTGTTCCAACCTCTGTATCATACCTGGGAATGTTGTTATTAGAGTCTTCACTTTCATTTGCCAGTCCTCCAAATAAGTAACACTTGTTACCATACAAAGAAAAGCTGTGGCCGAGGCGAGGACAAGGTGGCAAGCTTGTTGATGGGTGTTGAGGTTTCATTTTCTTCCACAGCCATCGACTTGCCTGCAAGTACAGAAACATGTACATAAACCTGCTTGTTAAACTGACAATATTACCAGACAAAGCTTTCACTGCATGGAAAGTTATGAGGAATTGAGGTGGATGTTGTTTTCTGCTTATAACCTTACCACTACCTTTCTTTGTTTCATTTTTAACTGTCAGAGAAGAAATACCAGAATAGTTGTACAATACATTTTGACAGTACAAGAAGCCATACATCTGAAGCATCCTGAGCACCTCAGATGCTAAGATGTACTTGCGGAAGAGAATTGGCAAGTTGATAAAATGAAACCTCATGATATAAGGATCCCACTTATTTTATTTGCAGTAAAATCATAAACAGCAGTTTGGCTACAGATTTACACACCAAGCTGCAGTTAAGTCTTGTGCTATGAACAAATGCTGCTGGGTATACTTTGGTTGGTGCAGATCTAATTCATTTTTTTCCAAGAAATATGTGTCCAGTTTTTCAATAGGTGAAATTTGACCACAGTTCACATTTTACAAATAGTATTTTATAATTAAATAAATTTACACTCATCCTTTTCAAGAGATCTAGGGATTCTCAACCAACCAGTATGTAACACTGTAATTTTTGAAGAGAGGTAAATAATTATAGGTGTCACTCATACCTGTAATTCATATAAATCATTACTGTATCTTCCATATTCAACCATTCCTCCAAATACTAGAATTCTGGTACCATCACAAACAAATCCATGGGCTGCACAGCCTGGTGGGATATCACCTCTAACAGCAGGAAGAAACCACTGGTTTGTAGCTAGGTAAGAACACACAAAACATTTCAAATGCAAATGGGCCTACAACAGATTATACATATTGAATACTGCAACTTTCCATCAAAACTGTTTATATTTTTATGAGATGTGTTTTATTGTTTCCTTGTGCAGCATCAAATTTTTGCCAAATTTGTAAGCCGCCTTGAGTCCCCTCTCGGGTTGAGAAAGGTGGGGTAGAAATGAAGTAAATAAATAAATAAATAAATACCTCTACTTCTGTAAACTGAATTCAAACTGCATAAGTTTTTGCACTCTAATAACTCAACATCAGGGAAGAGGAGAGGGTAGAAACACATTAAGGAAAATCAAAGTACTGCACCTTCTCCTGGTTTATGTGTCCTTCCATATTAACAACTTTTTGCCATCCTGACCACACTCTGATGTTGCTTGCCTATATGTGAAATATATTTCATCTCAGAAATATTGTCTAAAATATCTCTATGACAGTATAATTAAATATTTGAATTCTTAGGTATCAATACAGGCAGTCCCTGAGTTACAAGCATTCTACTTACAAATGACTCATAGTTAAGAAGGGTTGGGACAACAGAAAGTGAGAGGAATCTACCCCTGGGAAGGGAAATTCACCCCTGAAAGAGTATTCATGGGGAAAAGATGTCTCCACTGAAAAATTATCATCAATACTTGTTTCCACAACAAGCCATTTTTTTCCAAAATCTAATTCTCACAGGATCAGAAAATGAGGTGAAATATTTAACAGGAGCTACACTTTAAAAATGTACCTGTTCCAATGTACAAACAAATTCAACTTAACAACAAACCTACAGAACCTACTGCGGAACTGCCTGTAAAGGTTACATAATAATTCTAACTGATCCTGTTTCACAGAGGATCCAGGAAGTTGAAGTGGGCAACCTCTCATGGTTGAAAGCTCATACTGGACCCTTAGAGGCTGCACCTCTGTTGTAATTCTTGTTACCATTTTTGGTGGCAGCTGCAACTGTTTCTGCAGAAACTGGGAGTAGCTCTTTATAATGCATGTATGTACAGGGCAGACCACAACCACAACCACAGCTGTTTTTGTCCTTGATTGTATATGTGGCCATCCAGTCCAACCTTCTGCTATGCAGGAACACACAATCAAAGCTACCCCAAGAGATGGCCATCCAGCCTCTCCTTAAAGGCTTCCAGAAAAGGAGACTCCACTACTAATGTTAGACTCCACTTATCTAAGGTTTGGTGTTATCTAATGTTTGATCGTAATTTAATTTTTGTGATTTTCTGTTTAATTTTTTGTGGTTATTGTCATTTGATATTAGCATTGAATGTTTGCCTTTGTTTGTTGCAAATGCCCTGAGTCCTCATAGGGAGATAGGCCGGGATATAAATAAAGTTTTATTATTATTATTACACTCAAGGATGCTCCCCCTTTGATGAAAAGGGCACATTATAAATAATAGTAGTAGTCGTCGTTATAGTAATAACTCCCCTTTTCACTAAAAGGTGAAACACCCACTTGTTATTGTATAGGCAAAGAATGGTTGCCGTCTGTTCTTGGAATCTGCCCTGAGTCCCCTCAGGGAGATAGGGAGGAATATAAATAAAGTTATTTATTTATTTATAATGCCCTTTTTATTAAAAAGGGGAACCACACTCATACAATCATGGATAATAACAATAATCTTTATTTATATCCTGCCACCATCTCCCATCTCGGGACGGCTTATAAGACACTGCAGTGCAATATATACAATACTGTTGTTGTTGTTTGCTTTCCACCAAATAATGGAACATCAACATATAGCAGCGTTTCTCCACCTGGGGGTTGGGACCCCTGGGGGGGGTCGCAAGGGGTGTCAGAGGGGTCACCAAAGACCATCAGAAAACACAGTATTTTCTGGGTTCTTGTGGGTTTCGATAGAGCCATGTTCTAGAGGCATTTCTCCTGACGTTTCGCCTGCATCTATGGCAAGCATCCTCAGAGGTAGTGAGGTCTGTTGGAATTAGGACAATGGGTTTATATATCTGTGGAATGGCTGGGGTGGGGCAAGGAGCTCTTCCCTGCTGCAGTTAGGTGTGAATGTTTCAGCTGATCACCTTCATTAGCATTTGAAGGCCTGCCTGAGCCTGGGAAAATCTCTTGCTGGGAGGTGTTAATCTGTGCCTGGTTGTTTCCTCTTTGTTGTTTTGCTGTTGTAATTTTAGAGTTTTTTAATACTGGTAGCCAGATTTTGTTCATTTTCATGGTCTCTTCCTTTCTGTTGAAATTGTCCACATGCTTGTGGATTTCAATGGCTTCTCTGTGTAGTCTGACATGGTGGGTGTTGGTGTGGTCCAGCATTTCTGTGTTCTCAAATAATATGCTGTGTCCAGGCTGGTTCATCAGGTGCTCTGCTATGGCTGACTTCTCTGGTTGAAGTAGTCTGCAGTGCCTTTCATGTTCCTTGATGCGTGTCTGGGCGCTGCTTGGTGGTCCCTATGTAGACTTGTCCACAGCTGCATGGTATACGGTAGACTCCTGCAGAGGTGAGAGGATCCCTCTTGTCCTTTGCTGAACGTAGCATTTGTTGGATTTTCTTGGTGGGTTTGTAGATTGTTTGTATGTTGTGTTTCCTATCAGCTATGCGGTCAGTGGTTCCCTTGATGTATGGCAGGAACACTTTTCCTCTGGGATGCTTGCCATAGATGCAGACGAAACGTCAGGAGAAATGCCTCTAGAACACGGCTCTATAGCCCGAAAAAACCCACAAGAACTTAATAATAATAATAATAATTACATCCTGCATATCAGATATTTACATGACGATTCATAACAGTAGCAAAATTACAGTTATGAAGTAGCAATGTAAATAATTTATATGGTTGTGGGTCACCACAACATGAGGAAGGTTGAAAACCACTGACATATAGAATCAAGGAGAGAGGAGCCACTACTACTACTACTACTATAGAATTCCCTTTTCAACATAAAGCTCTTTATTTTACAGGCCTGGGCAAACTTGGGTCCTCCAGGTGTTTTGGACTTCAACTCCCACAATTCCTAACAGCAGGCTGTTAGGAATTGTGGGAGTTGAAGTCCAAAACACCTGGAGGGCCCAAGTTTGCCCAGGCCTGCTCCCAAAAGGAGGCCTTCCTCCTTCCATCCCTTTGCCCTCCTCTTCCTCCCCCTCCTCACCGGTGTTGTAGACGTGAAGCTCGTCGGCGATACCCTCGTTGCCGCCTCCGAAGATGATGATCAGCTCGCGGATGGCGGCGGCGCGGTGCCCGTGGCGGGAACGAGGCACCGGCCCCGTGAAGGAGGACACTCGCCTCCAGTTCAGGGCAGCGGCGTCCGCCGCCATCTTAGAACGCCGCTCCCACAATGCACCGCCGCGGCGGCGTCGCTGAGCAAAAGGAAGCATGCAGAATGAATGCCCTCTGGCGCCCCTGGAACTGTGAAGGCTTCATGCTATGGAGCAGGCAAACTTTGGGCCTTCGGGTGTTTTGGACTTAACTCCCACCATTCCCAACAGCCTCAGGCCCGGGAAAAGGAAGGGGCCTGAGGCTGTTGGGAATGGTGGGAGTTAAGTCCAAAACACCTGAAGGCCTAAAGTTTGCCCAGGCCTGTTATGGAGTTTTATAAGGTCTTCAACCGTCTCTGCCAAGGGGTGCTGGTACCCCACCAAACTACAACTCCCAGGATTCCACAGCATTCATCCATGGCAGTCAAAAGGGTGTCAAACCAGGATAGACTACTGCAACACACTCTACGTGGGGTTGCCTTTGTAGACAGTTCATATGTGATAGCGTGAGTGGCGCCACCTATGTGTAGAACTGTTAGTTGCAAGATTTAAAGTGTTGTAATCAAGGTGACAATTATGCTGGGGAAAGTGGAAGGAAAAAGGAAGAGGGGCCAACCAAGGGCAAGATGGATGGATGGCATCCTTGAAGTGACTGGACTGACCTTGAAGGAGCTGGGGTGGTGACGGCCGACAGGGAGCTCTGGCGTGGGCTGGTCCATGAGGTCACGAAGAGTCGGAGACGACTGAACGAATGAACAACAACAACAACAATCAAGGTGAAAGAAGAAAGCGCAAAAGCTGGGTTGCAGCTAAACATCAAAAAAACCAAGATTATGGCAGCAAGAATGATTGACAACTGGGAAATAGAGGGAGAAAATGTGGAGGCCGTGACAGACTTTGTATTTCTAGGCACAAAGATTACTGTCGATGCAGACTGTGGCCAGGAAATCAGAAGACGCTTACTTCTTGGAAAGAGAGCAACCAGTCCATCCTCCAGGAAATAAAGCCCAGCTGCTCACTGGAGGGAAGGATACTAGAGACAAAGTTGAAGTACTTTGGCCACTTCATGAGGAGACAGCAAAGCTTAGAGAAGACAATTCTGGGGAAAGTGGAAGGCAAAAGGAAGAGGGGCCGACCAAGGGCAAGATGGATGGATGGCACCCTTGAAGTGAGTGGACTGACCTTGAAGGAGCTGGGGGTGGTGACGGCCGACAGGGAGCTCTGGCATGGGCTGATCCATGAGGTCACGAAGAGTCGGAGACGACTGAACGAATGAACAACAACATGTATAGTTGGATGGATTGGTTACTTATAGCTGTCAATCAGTACTGTTTGGCTCTACCTCTTCCTGCAGGAGGGGAGTGGTTCCTTTCTTTTCATTCTGCCATCAGAATTTCTACCAGATGGACGTGAGTAAGAGACTTGACTCTAAAGGACCCTGATTTAAATTACCTCTTAGCATCAGTTCTGAGGTTTTTTACCTTTGGGACTCATGCTTTAGGTCCAGATCGTCCTGGACAACATTGAATCAAAGAGTTGGAAGAGACCTCATGGGCCATCCAGTCCAAGCCCCTGCCAAGAAGCAGGAATATTGCATTCAAATCACCCCTGACAGATGGCCATCCAGCCTCTGTTTAAAAGCTTCCAAAGAATGAGCCTCCACCACACTCTGGGGCAGAGAGTTCCACTGCTGAACGGCTCTCACAGTCAGGAAGTTCTTCCTCATGTTCAGATGGAATCTCCTCTTGTAGTTTGAAGCCATTGTTCCACGTCCTAGTCTCCAAGGAAGCAGAAAACAAGCTTGCTCCCTCCTCCTGTGGCTTCCTCTCACATATTTATACATGGCTATCATATCTCCTCTCAGCCTTCTCTTCTTCAGGCTAAACATGCCCAGCTCCTTAAGCCGCTCCTCATAGGGCTTGTTCTCCAGACCCTTGATCATTTTAGTCGCCCTCCCCTGGACACATTCCAGCTTGTCAATATCTCTCTTGAATTGTGGTGCCCAGAATTGGACACAATATTCCAGGTGTGGTCTAACCAAAGCAGAATAGAGGGGTAGCATTACTTCCCTAGATCTAGACACTATGCTCCTATTGATGCAGGCCAAAATCCCATTGGCTTTTTTTGCCATCACATCACATTGTTGGCTCATGTTTAACTTGTTGTCCACAAGAACTCCAAGGTCTTTTTCACACGTACTGCTGCTAGGTCCATCCGGAAGGGGCCTGAGTTTCAGGCATGCAATAATCTCTTGTACAGTGTAGATAATAATATTATTATAATAATACCATTTTATTTGTACCCCGCTACCATCCCCCCAAGGGACTCGGTGCGGCTTACTTGCGGCTGAGCCCAAGCACAACAATACAAGCAATAATAGATGTCCTTTCTGTAGATGTTTTACATTAGATGTTGCCCCCTCAGCTGATTATTTTCCCCCAGACTATGATTCCACTACTGTCATTTGTGGACAATCCAGTTGTGATGCTTCTCTACCGGGGCAAGGCATTCAGTTTCTATGGTTATGAAAGGAAAATGCCCTGGGGATCATATTGCAAACAGACGTTGGATGATGGAATGCACCAAAAAAATTTAAGAAGACCAGTCTGTGCTTTACAAATGATAGCGAAGCAAACTGAGGGTACGGAAAGGTAGATACATTTTATACAGTTTATACATTTAAGAATTGACACAATGCATAAATGATACAAGTTACACATAAATCATCAAGTTGATACGTTTTATTCAAGGGTTAGGTTTGATAGGGTTTTCAGGGTACAACTGCTGCTAGGTCCATCCGTCTAGCAATTTGAACTTCAGCCTTGGATTCATCAAGCCCTGCACGTCATATGATGCCTACAAATTGAATAGGTCAGGTGAAAGTATGCCTTGCCATACTCCTTTCCCAATCTTGAATCAGTCTGTTTTTCCATGATCTGTCCTTACTGTTGCTACTTGGTCATTATACAGATTCCTCAAGAGAGAGACAAGGTGGCTTGGTATCTCCATACCACCAAGGACTTGCCACAATTTATTATGATCCACACAGTGAAAGGCTTTAAAATAGTCAATAAAATGGAGATAAACAGAAAACAAAGTAAGCATCAATTATTTATTTTATTCATTTCCAATAACTTATTTGTGTTTCTTTTCAACAGCAAAAAGAAAACTAGTATTAAGTCCATGTCACAATTAAGCACCAATAATATCTGTTAAAAGGTTGTGGGTTTTTTGCAAAAAAAAATCTGTTGTGCACTTCATTTCTCAGTTATTTAATGTATCTTTCACACCAAGATGTTCCCTTTTAACATTTACAATAGTTATTGATGAGCTATCGATCTGTCAGTTCAAAAAGGAAGAAAAATGAAATGATAGGGTCTCTCTGTGGAGAGGGTGGTGAAATGCTAACAGGGAATAGGGAAATAGCTGCTCAACACCTTCTTTGCCTCAGTCTTCTCCCAAAAAGAGATTGGTGTTCAACCTGACCAGTATGAATCTGAAGAGGTAATAGAGGAAATGCAATTCAAAATAGATTTTAAAAAAGTAGTCCAGGAATGCCTGGCTACTCTAAGCGAATTCAAGTCACTAGGGCCAAATTAACTACAGTACATCCAAGAGTATTGAAGGAACTAGCAGAAGTTGTTTCAGAACCACTGGCAATAATCATAGATAATTCTTGGAGAACAGAAGAAGTCCCAGCAGACTGGAGGAGGGTGAATGTTGCAGAACCCAAACAATTACTGTTCAGCCAGCCTGTCATTTATACCAGAGAAGATTCTGGAACAGATAATTAAGGAGGCAGTCTGCAATCACTTAGAAAGGAATGCTGTGATTACTAAAAGCCAACATGGATTTCTAAAAAACAAATCATGCCAGAGTAATCTTATCTCTCCCCCCCCCCCAATAGAGTTAGAAGCTTGGTAGATGCAGGGAATGTGTTGGATGTAGCATATCTTGATTTCAGTAAGGCCTCCAACAAGGTCCCCTACGATCTTCTTGCAAACAAATTAGTCGATTTGTTTGCAAGGCAATGCTGCTATTAAGTGGATCTGTAATTGGTTAAGTGACTGAACTCAAAGGGTGTTTACCATGGTTCCTCTTCATCCTGGAAATAAGTGGAGTGCCGCAGGGTTTGGTCCTGGTCCCAAATCTGTTCAACATCTTTATTAATGACTTGGATGAAAGTTGAGAGGGCATTCTTATCAAGTTAATGGATGACACCAAATTAGGAGGAGTAGTTAATACTCCAGAGAACAGGATCAGAATTCAAAATGACCTTAACAGATTAGAGAGCTGGGCCAAAAATAACAAAATGAATTCCAACAAGGACAAATGTAAAATACTACACAGTATAGTGTTTGGATTGAAGGAAGTCATGGTGCCTCTCGATTCTGCTTTGGTTTGACCTCACCTGGAATACTGTGTCCAATTCTGGGCACCTCATTTCACAAGAGATATTGACAGACTGGAAGGTGTCAAGAGGAGGGCGACTAAAGTGATCATGTGGATGAAAAGACAGGTGAAAATGGCAGTTGAGGCAGCAGAAAACAGCCAAGACAAATGTGGAATGAAGGTGCAAATCTAGCCAAAGGATTACTTTACGAAATCAGCTAGAAATAATTTATTTCAGCTCTTATTTTTTGTATAATGGAGCTCACTAAGGAATTTAAAAAGAAAATCAACAAGTGTTTTATAAATTATATCAAAGCCTCTAATTGCAACTTGTTAAAAAATAATTTCTGAGTACATCTCTTTTTCAGAAACCAACACATCCTTTGGGAGAGAGCTTTTATTGCAGAAACAGCTTTCTGTTCACTTTTAGGATGGTGGACCAAAAGAGTTCTTTGTTAAGACAGACGTTCCTAAAGCACACTGATCCAACACTGTTAATGCCAAACAGCAAGAATGGATCATGTGGGTGAAGCTGTTCCCATCAGATGAAGAGTCACCCAAGTTAAGGAAGGAGCAGCATTGCTGAATACTACTTGGTTCTGTTTATTTCCAGTATTATCTACCATACAGAGTTATTAAATATATATGTTAATATCGGAACATTTTTGTGCAGTTATTTATAAGCTTCCATGTTCCCTCC